TATAGCGCATGCACTGCAAAATGCTGCACCAATCAGCATCTCATCATAGAGATGCATTGAACCAATGCATCTCTATGGGGAACGTTCAGCGCCTCTGTGATGGAGCTCCTGTACTCCAACCGAGTACCAATCCACTTCCTAGCTGTTGGGGAGGGAGCCTTGACTGCTTCAGCCCCAGTTTCCAAGGCTTATCTGGGGTCTCTTCATAACTGTAATGTTCACTAGGGAACCCTAACACGAAGACAGGACAAAATAGAGAGAATTGCGATACCGATCATTAGAATGGTTGGGTTTTGCAAAAAAGGATAGTCAAAACACGAGCAGAGATCAAGAGAAACAGAGAGACGGAATAACCAGAGACAAAGCCAAATATCAGTAACCAGGAAATCCAAATAACAAGTGCAACGCTCGATGGTAAACCAAAAACCACAACAGGGCACTAAGGCAAAGGAGAGGTTAGCTTATATACACACAGGGTGTGTCTGATTGGCTAACCTCCAATTGGTGTTAACCACAACACATGGGAGAAGTTTTTTTGCTCCTTTGTGGTCTCTAAGGTTATCACTGTGTGCCGTGTCACAGGACCGGGTTCAGCACACATATAAGGAAGCTGCTCTGGAGTATGCAGGGACCAGATGACGCCACTCGCTGTGATGAGGTAAGCAAGGTTGCCTGATAACTCTCTTACCTGATCAGATTCTTCTTCCAGGAAGGTATTTTCCCTTCTGCCTATTTCTCTGCAGCTCTGCTTACATTTCTTAATTTTTGTGGGGGGGACTAGCCCATTTTCCAATAACCTTTAGATGGCTGTGACACTTACAAAATACCAATAGAAAGAACATTAGTAAACAATTAATACATGCACTATATAATACCAATAAAAAGTGTGACAGATCCATCTGTATAGGCTGGGATTGCTGGTTCGTCTGTTTTGCCTCTTTTCGTGGAATTACCTGTCCGTATGCCCCTGTTCGTTTATTTGACTTTTCTACCGAATGAACTTACTGAACGGATGGCCACCCAGAAGAGAAGTGTGCTGCTGGTTAACCTCTTGATCCCAATTAGAACGTTGTGGTTAACCACAGACACCTCTCAATTATAACCGAATACAGGGTGGTCGACGTTCGTTAGTCGACCACGAGGCGGCGGCCATTTTAAAACATGCGAAAGACCAGCGGTGTTCAGCACAGATTGTATGGAACTGAAAACAGACACTTCTTCTGCCGAACACCGCTAAAACTACCGACCCCCCTTCTCAATCGACAAAGGCATCAACACCGGCCGTTCGGGAGTTTGAACCGCACGAATGGACTTAACCCAGATAGCCTTCCCATGGAGTCAATCGCATACCGAAAGACTGTAATAGACTTTGACTTCATGGCGATTGAACTGTGCGTATGGGATCTGAGCGCTATTCGCCAATAATATGCACTCAGATCCAGGCTATCTGGGGATACGTTACACGAATGGGAAATGTTCGTTAGTTGTAAAATTATATATTTTTATGTGTTTTTTGGGTTGCATCTAAAATGGCGATTTGCCTCTGTCCTGGGAGATAATTGAATTACTTCTCAATTATTTCCAGGGCAGAGGGGAGGAAACCATGATGCATGCTGGGAATATTATGTGCCTGTGTATCCTGAAATGCTGTATGTCCATCTGCCGTTACAGTCTCCCATTTGGTCCCCTAGGGGAGTGTCCACCAAGTGGGAGACCTGCATAAAAACGGGCGGGTAGCCCACAGTAAATGCCTTTTACATGGGCACTTACAGCTCTCAGGCCTAGCTTTCTTGATTATCCCAGGGCTAAAGGGATCGTGCAGCCAGCTTACAGGTCCGAAGACTTTGTTACCGGGATCCATAAAAATCACATAGGACACACTGTTCCAAAAGGAACTAACATACCATTCTTTATTTATTTTTTTCTCGGGCCTAGCCCATATGCCAAAAACATTTAGATTGCTGTGACTTCAATACAATACCAATAAAAGGAACATTAGTAAACAAGCAATTAAAATTAATAGACACACTATATAATACCAATAACATTTTTTAACACAATACAAAGCAATTATATATTCATTTTACTACTGATTTGGTTGTCCTCATTTGCATACAAATCTTATGCAAATGAACACACTTCTAGACAGTCAGCAGAGTTATCCAATAACATTGAATATTTTGTGCATTGATTGCTGCTGTCACACACTTCTTTCAGGGACTCCTGGGACCAGGTCCATAGTCTATTAAATCACTGTATACACATTTGTTTCATTTGTAACCGTTGTAACAGTGTACTCCAGGGCTAGAGTGGACGCCTATGTTTAATATATTAACCGTTAGGTCATTGTATGGATACATTTCAGTCTTGGAACTAATATCACTGTATAAAAATTTTAAATGAATTCTAATCATTCTATGACTGCATACATATATATCTTAAAGTGCATAATCACTTGTTTGTTGCGGTTTATATCACTTTACACACATTATTCACCTTTATTTTACAGTGTATAATTAAAGGGTTACTCTAAGTACCATGACCATTGCAGTTATTTGGAGTCCATATGTGCAGCATTTCGCTATGAAACTCTGATTATTGCATATAACTCCACTCCAGTAGCATCATTGGATCGTCATTCGGCCTGGAATGAAAGTCAGTATCAGTATACACAGCGTGCTAGTGACAGGCATCCAAAGTAGCACAGCCCACAAGCAATGCGGCCTATCCCTCACGCTGCAGCAATGCTTTTTGGTTGGAATATCCATTTACATATTCATTTTTAGTTTTTTTTATGCAAGCTAATTTCACTCTAGAAACCTTATATCAATGTATGCACTTCTTAAATGAATATGTTTGCTTGGACAACGTCCCCTGGAAAAGTTGGAACCTTGGTGGGGTGTTCAGCTTGCAATTGAGACAATTTGTTTAAGGGAAACAGGGGATTTGATGAGATTTTTTTATTTTAACTAGGACAACTTGACTTACTTCCAAACAGCTTGGCCTGGGAGAACAAGGGACTTTTGCATCTTAGACCCAATCTTGAGAAACAAGATCCCCTATTTTTCTTTTATACCTTGTCTATGCTGGCCCAACATTAAACCCCCCGCCTCTCATTTCCTTGCTCCTGGTGTGGGCAAATTTTCTATAGTAATACTGTATCCTCCCTAGTGCTGAGATGTGCCCTCCTGCTTCCTTGTACAGGACAAGTTTGCTCAGGAAAAGTTGAGACTTGGTGTAATTTTAAAAACCAGACAATGTGGCCTAAATTGTTGGAGTTTGAACTTTTCTCCAGGCGATGTAAGGAACAACTTGGCATGTTTATCATTATATACCCATATGAAATTAATGATCACTCATTATAACAACGATACACAATATTGCAACATTAACATTAATATATAAAATCTATATTTTACAGTATATCTAAATAAACATTGCTATTAACCCTTACATTTTCAGTTTGCAACAAGGACAATTTGGCCTGAAGAATCAGGATGTAATGTGATTTTCACCTTGCAAGATGTCTTAATAGGAGAAGTTGGTCTTCTCTCAGACAGCTTGACCTGAGAAAACTCGAGATGTTGGCATCTTAGGTCAAGTCGGTGATATGACATAAGAAACTTTTTTTTTTTTTAAAGATAATCTAATTTTCTTCATTACCACCTTGTCTACACTGGCCCTGGCTTTCAACCTCCTGCCTCCTTTCTCCTTTCTCTTTGCTATAAGTGTTGGTGAATTCAAAGGGAAAACTGTATCTCTCACTGGTGCTGAGTTCTTCCCTCATGCTTCCTTGCCCTGTCAAAGTCTAGGCTGGACTGCCGGGGACCCAAGCTATTTGTCTGCTTTGGAATTGTCTTACTCATCGACAACAGAGGCTGACAGAACCTTGAGCAATCTTGGCATCAAGGTTCAGCAGAAGACAGTGAGGGAAAGCTTTGTTTTTCTACCTCCTGTGGGGATATTTATGGGATGATAATATTGTACAGTTGAGAATTGCCCACTATTTCAATTCTGTTAGAACTTAGAGATCGTTATCATGTAAGTGAAATTTATTTCATACAAATAAAATCACAATTTGTTATAAAAATAGATATAATTTATTGTGACAAATAAAATAATAATATTAGGTAGCATGCATGATAATAATCAGTGAATGTTTAGTATAACATAAGTATGTAATACAATGGCAATGTTAAAACAATCCAATGGCTAACGGCATCAACTTTCACTTAGTAAGATTAATGAGGTATTTCACAGACACAGAAAGCTAAACTTCCAGCGAAAAGCCATAAAACCTTGGCTAACAGTTAGATCAACTGAGTAACCCTTTCAATGCTGGCTAGATCCTCCTAGGCATATAGGATCCTATTCTCATGTAATTTTCATTTAAAATAACATTAAAACCAACTCATTAATCATTTCCTGGAACCATCCAATAAGAATAATCTACCAGATTTTTACAAAAAGCCGAATTTAACTCTACCTAAGATATACGATCTTATTTCAGAGCAAATCAATACACATGGATAAAAACAGCGGTATGCTAACACGTGGTAAGATACCAGTACTATGTAATTATCTGACTCCACCTGCAGAATGGAGTGTTATAACTTAGTTAACTAAGATTTCTAAGTTATTGAAATCTGACCGTGATTTATCCAGTCATATATCATGCTATTAGTAAATTTTTATTAATTTAAATTAATTAAATAAAACCAGCATAATTACCAGTTATGTAGATGTTCTCATCAGATGAGTAGGTAGTCCCAGGAACTTGAATGCGAGTATGATTTGTTGTATGGAGCTGTTTAAATAATAGAGAAAAGTGATGTTAATTAGAAAGTAATAGTAGAATTCTAAGTGTCAAGGAGTGTTTCTTGAGTTGTGTCCAAGAGAGTTTGAGAGAGTTAGTCCCAGAGTGACTTGAATATTTGTCCTGGATCTCGCTGAATGTCCGAATCTGAAAGCCCAAACTAACCTCTCTCTTCCCTTTGTTCCTAACTTTTAAAGGGCCAGACTCTCTGTACATCATTAGTTGATATATAATAGGAAACTGTAGGTGTGGTCAACCTGCAGATCGCAATTTAGATATTTGATCCATAGAGGGCAGTCTCGCCTCAGTAAACCTTCCTATCCAGGAAAGAGTTAACTTTTCCTGATGACGATTTTGACGTCATTTGGCTTATCTAAAGTGACTACCCTAACTAAAATTTGCTGTCAGTTCAAAGCGTTTGCCTCAGTCTTTGTGGCGACATCTTTGATCGTAATTTCTAAAATTGACAGTTCTAAACTCAGTTTCACCCCTTACTTACAATGGAACCTTGTAAAATTTAGAGAGTAAAATTAATTAGACTTCTGTGTCACTAGTGTCTGTGTTTAAATTTATTTCTATTCCATTAACATTTGAATAGAACATTCCATCCCCCTGCTTCATTGCTTACCACTTGGCTTGTTTACAAAATGCATCCCTTAGCTCAGGCTAGTGGCTAGTTACAGAAAGGAAATACATTTTGTGTCTGTCTTGCCTGAAATCCAAAATGGAGTCCGCTCTGTTATGAGTGACTCTGGCAATATACACTTTTAACTTCAATCTTAGCACAAAATGTCTGCCGATATAAATATCCTGACATAACCCCCCTTAGTGATTCTCATAGCAATGATTAATTTAGTCTATGAATAAGCACTATAGAAGTTACAAGACATATTGTGCACTCACATCATTTCTACTGACATAGGCCTGTGCATGGAATGAACATTTTTGTATATTTTTGTTCCTGTAAGAGCTTTGAACTTTACACTTCGTATAATCAACCATAATATCATTATCATAGCACACCCAATAACAATCTTAACATGGATGAACCAGTCAACACGAGCAATAAGGTCAGTATCTAACTCAGAGTACTTAAATGTGTCCACAGAAATGTTATCTTTTCTGATTGACATTTGGATAGTGTGGTTGGGCTTATGGTCCAGCAAGAACTTTAGATTAGGATCTAGAGGGATATCTAGATTCTGGAAGGGATCCACCATCAATAGCACTTTCGATGATGTCAGTGTACACCAGGTATAGCGTAACGTCGCCGATGGTGATACGAGAGTCGTGGGGTACCTTGATCAGTGAGACAGGTGCTGGTAAGGCAATTACTTTATTAGTCACCTGGTCCCGGCGAAAAACACTCATGTTTTTAAGACACGTGCTTACCAACCATTACTGTAGTTTTTTTTTTTACATAGTTACTTGACATGTTTCAGAGCCATGTTTAAGGTACTAGATCCCACACAAAGCATTGGTATAATTGTACACAAAAGGTTTTCCATCACATTGGAAATTATTGTCTTTGAATTTCTCACAGTCATTCAAAATGGGTATTGAATACCAATCTGGTACCCACGGTTGAAAAGCCAAAACATCTGGGGTTTGGACTTTTACGTGGATATTTTCCTTCCATGTAACGACGTTGTAAATTGTTTTTATTTGAAAAATGTTTTTGGGAGTTACATATGGTATGGCCAATAAAAAGCAAATCTCCATGCGTTCCGGATCAATTAAGAGAGGTATAGCGCTCCCTATCTCAAAGGCCATATTTAATTGCATAGGCTCAATTGTCTCTCCATCCACATTGGCAAGCATCGCATGAACAATATCCTTGGATACAAAATACAGAGGTATGCGTCCCCCTGCCAATTCAATCATTCCAGTTTGCACTTCGTCAAGAAAAGCAAGTGTGTGGAACAATATTGGGTCATGTAGAAATAGAAGTTCACGCTTAAATAAGTCATGACTTTGGTGCAACTCAGTGGATTTGGCAATTAACTCCGAATGCAAATTTGTTGTAACAACTGTGTCTTCCACAATAGTTAACACGTCTTGGAGAAGTGTTCTTTGCTGGTTTATCACCTGATGAATATCGTTAATGTGTTGCTTTAACGCATAGATTTCCATATCCAGCTTTTGGACAGTAATAGAGTTGGCTGCAGACATTCCAGTTGTGACAACTGCACCGACAGTGGCACAAACTAATGACAACAATAATGGCGGTGCGGAATAGTGATGTCGCGAACATAAAATTTTCGGTTTTCGGTGGGTGGGTGCCCTAAACAAAAATAAGGGGGGGAACCTAATGTCCTCCCCCTGGCCCCCACCCCTGAGCAGTGGGTGGGGGCCCTAAACACAAATTGGGGGGGATCTAATGTCCTCCCCCCCGAGCGGTGGGTGGGGGCCCTAAACAAAAATAAGGGGGAGGGCCTAATGTCCTCCCCCCTGGCCCCCACCCCTGAGCAGTGGGTGGGGGCCCTAAACACAAATTGGGGGGGACCTAATGTCCCCCCCCCTGGCCCCCACCCCTGAGCGGTGGGTGGGGGCTCTAAAAAAAATGTCCTCCCCCAGGTGACTAGGGGTCCCCAAACCCCTAGTCACCCCCTGCCCCCCAAAAAGTATCCCCCTACCTAACTCCCCTCACCCTAAAAATAATGAGGGGGGGTACCTTTTATTAAGTACCTGTAAAAAAAAAAACTTACCATTCAATGTTTTCTTTCTTCTAAAATCTTCTTTTTTCAGCCCCAAAAAAGGCCAAATAAAAAACCATAATAACCGACGCAATTAAAAAAAAAAAAATGAGTGCAAAAAAAAATCAATCTTCACCCATGGAGGGCTCCGCGCAGACTGAGCTCTGCAGGGCGGGGGAAGGCTTATAAAGCCTTGCCCCACCCTGCAATTAGGCTCAGAACACTCTGGTGGATTTCAAACCAACCAATCAGAGTTCTCTGACAGGTAAATGAAGAGACTGACAAGTAAGTCACTACATTTACCTGTCACAGCACTCTGATTGGTTGGTTTGAAATCCAGCCAATCAGAGTGCTCTGTGTCATTTTACACAGCGTGGGAAAGTTCTTTGGAATTTTCCCACGCTGTGTAATTTGACTCATAACACTCTGATTGGTGGATTAAGTAACCAATCAGAGTGTTATGAGTCCCCCCAATTTGTGTTTAGGGCCCCCACCCACTGCTCAGGGGTGGGGGCCAGGGGGGGGGGAGGACATTAGGTCCCCCCCAATTTGTGTTTAGGGCCCCCACCCACTGCTCAGGGGTGGGGGCCAGGGGGGGGAGGACATTAGGTCCCCCCCAATTTGTGTTTAGGGCCCCCACCCAACGCTCAGGGGTGGGGGCCAGGGGGTAGGACATTAGGTCCCCCCCATTTGTGTTTAGGGCCCCCACCCACCACTCAGGGGTGGGGGCCAGGGGGAGGACATTAGGTCCACCCCAATTTGTGTTTAGGGCCCCCACCCACCCACCGCTCAGGGGTGGGAGCCAGGGGGGGAGGACATTAGGTCTCCCCTTTTTAGTATTTAGGGCCCCCACCCGCTGCTCAGGGGTGGGGGCCAGGGGGGAGGACATTAGGTGACCCCCCAATTTGTGTTTAGGGGCGGACCGAACATCGCATATGTTCGCCGTCCGCGGCAGACGCGAACATACGATGTTCGCCACGAAAAATTCGCTGGCGAACCGTTCGGGACATCACTAGTGCGGAACCTTTTGGGTCGGTTGCTCATTGAAATAGTACTGGATACAAATGGTTTCCGGGATTGTTCCAAGATGTTTCGCACACGGTCTTGTGCTCTGTAGAGGTGCATCTGGTACCAAGTCTGTAACTCAGGAAGCTGCATCGATGAAATGTTATATGCCTTCTAAACCTTGGGCAACTGGGCTTCTCTTATTATGTTTATAACGGACTTCTAACGGCCATCCCTGTAAGGATAGAGTCCATGCAGTAATCTGACTGTTAGAGAGATTACCGTCTCTGATTTTTTCACTCTGCAGATACTGTAGAGGTTGGTGAGTTGTTTCTACAATTATTTTCTCACCTTGGATATAGCTACGAAAATTTTGTAGTGCCCAGACAGTCGACAATAACGCCTTCTCACACGTGTTGAATTTAACTTCAACAGGTGACAAAGTCTTGCTAGCATATGCAATAACTTTGTTTAAACAGTTCTGCTTCTGATACAGAACAGCACTTATGCTTAAATCGGTATATCCTGTCTCCAGATAGAAGGGTTTACCCCCCTCTGGGTATGCTAAACAGGGTGCCTGAGTGAGCTTCCTCCTCGGTTCATTTACTGCTTGATCCTGAGGCTCCCCCCAGTTCCAGGTAGTTTCCTTTTTAAGCATGTGTAAGAGTGGTTTCGTTATTTCTGCATAGTTATCTATAAATTTACGGGAGTAGTTAGTCATGCCAAGGAACGATCTTAATTCCCTGATGTTTGAAGGTGTTTTAGGCTTAATTACAGCTTCAGCCTTCTTCCTCTGGGGATTTAATCCTTCAGAAGTTACCTCATGTCCGAGGAAATTGACATGGGTGCGACACCATTGCGCCTTTTGTAAAGACAGTTTAAACCCTGCCTCTCTTAACTGAGTGAGAACATGTCTAATCTCTATGATATTCTTATCAAAGGAAGTGCTTTTCAGCAAGACATCGTCGACATATGATAACGTTCCTCTCTCGAGTGCGTCAGGCATAGCTTTATGCATGAAGACAGCAAATTCATGACCAGAGTTTATGTAACTGAAGGGAATGCGGGTCCAGGTATACTGCTGCTTTCCAAATGTGAAGGCCAATTTGTATTGGTCTTCATCATGGACTGGTACAGTCCATTATCCCTGCGCACAGTCAATGGCAGTGAATATTTTGGATCCCTGCATTTGTACCAAACATTGGTCTATATATGGCACTGGCCAACCAGACATATAGACGTGTTTATTTAGCTGTCGTAAGTCAGCGCATAAACGCCATTGTTCATTATGTTTCAGAATCCCCAACATCGGATTATTATACGAACTGTGCACCGGACGTATAATGCCCCTTTCCTTTAAATTCTGAATGATGTCTTGTAGACCATCATATGACACTAATGGGAGTCTATATTGTTTGATAAAAACAGGTGGTAAATTTGGATCAGTTTGTATTCTGGCTACGTGGAGGTTAGTTAACCCACAGTCGTAGGAATCTTTGGCAAAAATATCTTGGAATTCCATTAGGATTTCCTTTAGCTGATGCTACTCAGCATCGTTGGAGCAACCATCAGCTAAAGATATTTGCTATTCTAGCCTTTCCTGAAATCCTGAAAAGATTTCAGGCTGGCCTATCTCATAAGCTTCTTCAAGCTTAGAAGTTAGGTCAGTTCGGTGTTGACTTACCTTTTTGTCATCGTGATACTCTTGTGATTCCTGCTCACTGAGCGGATGATCAGAGGTGATTGATGCTTTTTTGATTTTACACAAGCCTTCTTCGACGCTGAAGGGATATACATACATTCATGATAGTGAATAATCCTTCTGGGCAGGAATGGAATATTTGATCGACAATTTCGTCCTCAGTTAAGTATTCTTCAGGGATGAGGCCTATAATTTGTTTTTGGAAGCCAAATGTATAGTACGCAGCATCCAATGCTAGACCTAATAATGTTCCCTTTGGTAAAGTAACAGTATTGGGTGTAACATTGTTGACCATTATATAGGTGGGATTCTTACCATTGGTGTATGGGTTACCACCATCCTTGATTGTTGTATCCTGTTGGATAAACAGATTAGGGCATCAGAGTTTTCCAATCTCTGACCCTTCTTGACCTGTAGGGGTAAAAGAAAGTTACTTGTCCCTTGTGGAATGGTTATGTCATCAGGTACTTGGATACTTACCGCATATGGGAGTATTTGTCCTGATTTCAGGGCGTTTTCCTCGTGTAGGTATCCACAAGGATTACCCTTGAACCTTGTCCACAAGTTGGAATTAATCAGGTCTAGGTGTATGGCAAAGCGATGTATGACATCATTGCCAATGTAAACCTGATAGCGAGATTCGTTTATCACTAGGAATAAATGTTTAACTGTCTTATTTCCGATGGAAATAGATAGTAAACATTTTGCTATTACATTGTGACTCTGATTCGCCATCCAGGTTCTGGATCCACCTGTCATGTGGGGAAGTGTACCTGATCATTTTAGGATTAGCGATCTGCTTTAACAGACTTCTGCTAATATAGCTGTTCTCACTCTTTAAGTCCAGCTTTGCATTCCTGCTTCTTCTCAAGTCATTTATTTGAATAGGAAAGAATAAGTGGTTATTAACCCTTTCAATTCTGGCAAGGAATTGAGCATAACCTGCCAGATCTACAGATTCAACATAGACCCTGTGGAGAGAAATGGTTAAAACATCACCTTCCAGAGAGACATTCTGGATCCTCTCTGGAGCAATTCTTACGGAATGCTCATCTACAGGTGCTATTGCATCATTCACCTGCAGGATAGTCATGTCAGGTGACTGACTATTCCTAAAATGTACCTCAATCGAGTCAGGTCTTTCTTCTATAACATGGCAATTACGATCAGATTGAACATGTGATTTCTCATAGGTTATAGGAACCTTAGCTTGTGACCATACAATTCCATTTACACAGTCAATAATTGTGTTAAGTCTTCTGAGCATGTCTATACCTAGAATCAGTCGGTAATAGGGGAGATCTACCACTATAACCGGGTACCGGGTGTCTAAAGGTTTTGTTACTTATTTTAAATTTTAACCAGGTATTGCCAATAACATGAAGGGCATTTCCTCCTACACTCAACAGAGCATTGGGGAAATCTCTTAGCTTCGGCTTATCCGCTGCTAAGTCCATTACCTGCTGGAAGTAGGTATTGGATAAGATAGTAGCTTGTGAACCAGTATCTATTAACCCTTTGAAAGGCTGGGGTAGTGAATCCTGTATTTCTACGGACATGTAGTACCTTCCTTCATGTTCTTCTAATTCACAAGTTAGAATGTGTCAACATATCACTCGTTTTCCATACGTTACCTGTCACAGAAGTAGTTTCTACCTGTACTGAGGAATGCTCAGTCTTACCCACAGGCCCATCCTTCTTAGGAATATTTTGAACTGTCAAGCGGGAACTCGTGGTCGGCATCTCATCAGATAACCCTTTCAGGTCTGGATCCTGGAAACTAGTGGCTGCTGGGGCTATTTTAGCCTTTGGCTGAGATGAAAAAACAGAGGAACACGTTGCGCCTCCTTCACCCGGAAGTGAAGTGACGGGGTAGGCAATAGGTTTCCTAACACAACTATTATTTGTTTGACTGTGAGTACCTGGAAAGGAAACAGGGTTAGGTATTACACCTACTGACAACCTAGCCTGTTTAGTCACAGTGGCTATTATTGCTGCGGCACCTGTTGTTTTGCTGCAGTTGCACAGGTGGCTCTGCAATTGGAGGTATCCCTAACAAAGGATTTCTGGCAAAAACTTGGTTAATCTTTGTCATTTCCTCCATTAATTTGCCCATGTGGTCTGTCAATTGACCAACCTGACGACGCAAATTATTTCCCCCATTGCCGTTTTGTCTTTGTCCATTAGAATTTGGCTGGGATGGCTGAGACTGTTGGGAGTTACTGGAAGCAGATTTGGTTATTTCTGTTTCCATATCTCCTATTACCCTGAGGATTCCTTCTCCATTGGGAATTGCCTTGGTTCTTATTAACCCAGGGGTGTTTATTCCCATTGGAATTGGACTTTTCAGAGTTATTATCAGAGGAATTAACATTGCTTATGGCATTTTCATGTTTCTGAGGTTTTGGAGTTTTCAGAACCTCAGAATAGGTCCTCTTTTTCTGTTGGGTTTCTAAACCTAACTGAATTTTAGTCTCTGACACCATTTTATCACCAGGTTTCTTAACCTTTGGCTGATTTTTTTTTTATGTGCATAGTGTATAGTATACAATTTCATGCACTGACTGACTAGCCATTCTAATGGTAATTTACAATCATAATCTCTTGCGAGATTCATTTATATGTTTACCGGCATAGCATGAAAATACAGATCTTTGAAGTCTGTACTTTCATACCTGGGTTTCCATTGGGCCATGGAATATGCATTTTTAAGAATTATTAAAAATTCTCTGGGGCTTTGATCTGGACAGCACTTTAAGTTATAAAGCACTTTTTTAGCAGAAGCAATGGTTTTATACTTACCATATTCCATGATTATTTCATATTTCATCTTGGACCAGGACATTAACTGTATAGCTTGAAGACTTTCTAGATAAACTCGACACATTGAATCAAAGGTCCATGTAATGAACCATTTCTTATGAATGTCATCATACATGCCCAATGAATTCATTGCTCTATCATAATTTTCCAGATGTTCAGATATGTTTCCTGAACCTCTAGAAAATTGTGGGACAGTCTCTCTAAGGAATTTGATAACCTTTGGTGTTTCATAAACAGGCATCGTTGAATTACGACCTCTGTTTCTGTGTCTGAGTAAACGTCTATGCGATCTGTCTGCTGAAGAGGAATTAGACCCGTACAACAGTGCAGATGGCATATCAGTTACATGGCCTTCAGAGTGGATAGTGCAATCACTTTCACTCCCATCACTCTGAGCTTCTTGTTCACTGTCACAATTCTGATCAGCATCAGAATCCTGCCAGTGTACAGAACCATGTCTGTTTTCATTCCTATCACCTTGAATTGGACTCTCCCTCTCAAGTTTGGCCAAGACAGCTTTTTCAAACTGTTCTGCCCAAGATTGCCAAGGTGGTTTGGTAATGTCTTGAGATGGGGAATCTTGTTCCACAGGTGATTTTTTAGAATTACTCACATCTTTACTTACAGACTGTTTTATGAAAACCTGGTTTGGTGTGGGAAAACCATAATAAGGAGGGGATTTACAGATAGTCTTTTCTTGCATTTTTGTGCAACTTTTTGGCACAGAATGATGACTACCAACCTCACTGTCTAATTTCTGACTCTCCTTTTCATATTCATCCAATTGCATTTTAAGCTGATTTATTTCCTGTGCACATTTATCCGTCAAAGCTTTCATTTCTTTTTCATGATCAGCCTGACGAGTTTTATGCTCAGCAAGTAAATCTTGGTATCTCCCATTTTGAATGCCCAGATCGTCACTGTACGTGTCCAATTTGGCATTCAGTGACTTGTTTTCATCACACACCTTAAGAAGTGCTGTCATAAAGAAAGGCCAAGAGTGTATTATGAACGCCATTTTCCTTTCTATGTTCTTTTGTTCAGCAATTTCTTTAAGATATATGATGATGTGTTCATAAGTTAGAATGGTGTGTTTAGCTTCCCATTCTATGCTTTTCAACCAAACCTCATAGGTTGCATCATTTTTCATATGTTTATGAATATGAACTAGAGCATGTTTTCTTAGGTCTTCAATTATTTCAGTATTATCTGTTACAGATGTATTGCTGGATTCAGCCATATTTCTATACAGTGATTTAATCTCAATACAAAACTCTTTTCTATATCAAAATTAAATTGCATGAATTACACCAATATTATTATTATATATGAAATACAATTTCAACTTAAACGATCTCAGCAGCGTGCCTCCAATATGTGGGGATATTTATGGGATAATAATAGTAACAGTGAGAATTGCCCACTAATTCAATTCTCAGATCCCAAAGAACGTTTATCGTGTTAAGTGAAAAGTATTTCATATAAATAATCACAATGTATAAAAATAGATTTTATTTATGATAACCAATAATTAACAAATAATATTATGTAACATGCATGACAATAATCAATGAATATTCAGTATAAAATGGTATGCAATACAAAGAAATGGGTATTACGTTTCAATGGCTAACTAGCATTTTCTGTCAAGAATTCTGACGATTTATGAGGTATCCTTAACACAGACTTAAGTGAAACTTTTCACAGCGAAGAACAGAATTCCTCAGAGTGCAGCGTAAGGTCGTAAAGTTTAGCCGATAGTTAGAATAACCCTTTCAATGCTGGCTAGATCTCCTAGGTAGTTAAGATCTATTCTGATGTCATTTTAAATAAAATAACATTTATCCAGTTCATTAGTCATTTCCTGAAAATCATCCAATAAGAGAATCTAATATATTATATAAGCAGATTTTTAATTTTTCTAAAAGATATCTTATCTTAATTTAGAGCAAATCAATACACCTGGATAAAAACAGCGGTATGCTAACACGTGATAATATCACATCAATATATAATTATTCTTAATTCCACCTGCAGAATGGAATGTTTATAACTATATATTCTTAGTTAACTAAGATTTCTTAATATGGAAATCTGACCGTGCTTTATCCAGTCATATATAATGCTATTAATACATTTTAATTAATTTAATTTAATTAAATGAAACCAGTATAATTACCAGTTGAGTAGATATTTCATCCGATTGGTAGATAGTCTCAGGAACTTATTTGGATGTCTCTCTGCATGGAGGTGTTGGTGAAAGTCAGTAAATTCTAAGTGTTAGAGTTTTAGGAGTAGAGTGTTAGTCTCAGATGTTGTCCGAGTTGGAGTCCCCAAACTTCCAATTCCTCTCTCCTCTCCTTTGCATATGTCCTGCATCTGCCTCCCTATTCTCGTATATCTGCCTTCCCTTTGTCTTAACTTTTAAAGGGCCAGACTCTCTGTACGTCATCAGTTGATAACCCAATAGAAGCACTAGAGGTGTGGTTATCTTCCAGATCGCAAATTAGGTATTTAGTCTATAGAGGGCATTCTTGTCCCACTAAACATACCTATCCAGGAAAGAGTTAACTTTTCCTGGTGGCTATTTTGACGTCATTTTGCTTATCTCAAATGACCACTATAACTTAGTATCCTTCAAAGATCAAAGGGTTTCTTAAATTTTGTCCAGACTATGTGTCTGGCAAATCTGCTATAATTTCTGATATGACAGATCATGAACTAAGTTTACCCTTTTCCATACAATGGTACCTTATATATATATAGACAGTTAAATTTTATTATTTAATCTTCTCTGTCCCAATTGTCTGGGTTTAGATTTGATTATATTCCATTAGCATTAGACAGTCTGTCCAACCCCCTTCCTTATCACTTGGCTTGTATATACTATGCATTCCTCAGCTCTGGGAAAGTGGTTTGCTTACAGATAGAAATATAGTGTCTTTTTGTTAACTTGAAATAACAAAATGGAGTCTGGTCTGTTCAGAGTGACTCAGAATATACACTTTTAGTTTCTATCGTAGCACAAAATGTCTGCCGATATAAATACCCTGACAAAGTACATACTATCAAATATATGACTCTTTTCGAGTAACATGTAATTAAATCCCTAATGTTATAGGTTTCTTGGGCACACTGGGGATTTTTGAATTTCCTGATCACTCTATTTTTGTTCCCCGTATTTTTACAGGCACCACATATGCCGCACCCATAGAATCCTGGGGATTCATTAAACAGACTTTGTATAAATTGGTTGTGTTTAATATGATTATGCACTAAATTATCTCTCAAATTTTTCACCCCCCTATAGATAATCCTAGGGCGATCAGGTAGAATTGTGTTTAGATAAGGGTCTTCCTTTAAAATTGGCCAATATTTGTTCACAATTTTCTTAAAAATGTGACTTTTTGAATTAAAATCACATATCAATGTGTCTTGGTTAATGTCCCTTGATTCAGTGGGTGGTTTATATTTAAGCAGGCTTAGTCTGTCAGTTTTCTGTACTTCCTCAACCGTTTTTTTCAAGAGGTTTTCCTGATACCCCTTGTCCCTGAAGTTCTTTACAATTATCTCCGATTGGGTTTCAAATGTATGGGTTTCTGAGCAATTCCGTTTTACTCGTAATAATTGGGCCTTCGGTGCATTTAGCAGCCAGGGTGAAAAATGGCAGCTTTTCCGTTCTATGTAACTATTAACGTCTACGTTTTTGAAAAAGGTTTTTGATTTAATCTGACCGTTTTCAATGAATATGTTTAAATCCAGAAAATTGATTGTTGATTTGCTGTACTCACTGATTAATGTAATGCCCCAATCATTTGTGTTCAGAAAGACCAAGAAGTTTTGTAGTGAGGTCTCGTCTCCCTTCCAAATAAAAAGGATATCGTCGATATAACGGCGATATAGCACCAGGTTCTGCCCCCAGTCATGACTCCCATATATATATTGGGTCTCCCAATGGGACATAAATAGATTAGCATAACTGGGAGCGAACCTGGTGCCCATCGCCGTCCCACACTGTTGAATATAGAATTCCTCTCCAAACCAGAAATAATTGTGATTAAGTATCCAGATTTTACCTTCAATAATGAAGTCTATCTGGATCTGGGGAAAGTCTCTGTACAGTTCCAAAAAATATTTTGTGGCAGCACACCCTTTATCATGTGTGATAATCGTATGTAGGGAACTCACATCAGCCGTCACTAAATAGTAGTTCTCTTCCCATTTCTGATCTTTTAAAATTTGTAAGACACTTAACGTGTCCTTTAGATGACTAGGACTTCTTTGTACTGCTGGTTGCAGACATTTATCAATGTATTGTGACAGACGACTAGAAATAGATTCAATTCCAGAAATAATTGGCCGACCAGGGGGATTTTCCTTATTTTTATGTATCTTGGGAAGTTGATAAAACACCGGAATTTTTGGATGCAGGATATCTAGAAATTTAAATTCCTTTTCGTTTAAAATACCCAGTGTTTTTCCCTTATCTAATAGTTTAATATATGTCTCTTTAAACTCCCTAGTTGGATCTTTAGTTAGTTTCATATATGTCTTTCCATCACTCAATAACCTTAAAGATTCCTCAACGTAGTTAGTAGTTTTCATTACCACTATACCGCCACCCTTATCAGCGGGTTTAATGACTATAGTGTTGTCCTTTTTTAATTCTTTTAATGCCCTTATTTCGTCATTCCCCAAATTTAGTTCGTATTTATTGTTTTTTTTTATCTTGTTCATATCCCGAATTACCATTTTTTCGAAGGCGGTCATTTCCTCCGACACTAAATAGTTCGGAAAGAATGAGGAAGCCTCCTTATGGTCTGTGTGAATGACCTCGCTATATTCAATATTAGTTTCTGTTCTGGTAATAGGAGATTTAGAGAAGAATTTCTTTAAACATAGTTTTCTCTTAAATTTTTGGAGATCTATGTAAGTATCGAATTTATTGAGTGATTTCGTTGGAGCAAAATTTAGGCCTTTCGCTAGGAGTTTGGACTGGGCCGGAGTCAGGGGTTGGTCTGTTAAATTAAAGATGCCGTGGTTATTTGATGTTGATTCCTGTCCCTTAGCTCTTTTCTGTATGTAAACTCCTCCTCTACCTCCCCTTCTTCTATACTCCTCCTTCTTTTGCCCGGTGATCTCCTCTGATTGTCCAATTCCTTGTGTCGATCTTTTTTGTGGGTACGCCAAAAAACCTCCTCCCTGGGTGACTTATTTAAGACTTCGTACCTATTTTCAAGGGGTATTAATCCTCGACTATTGGAGATAGGTCTAGGTCTTTCATGAGATGTTTTTTCTCTGTGATCTATCTTATGAGAGTTTAATCTTGGCCTTAACTCATAATTGTGTTCCTTCCTTCTGACTACTTTTTCTGGAGTAATCAGTTGCTTGGGTCTAACAGATGTTTTTTGTTGTTGAGTTACTGGGATGGATTTTTTATGGAATTAGATCTGAGAGTATTCCCTATTGTCTACTCTACATTCATTTCTATCTATCTGCCTAAAAGGTCTATAGTGGGTATAATGATCTTCCTGATGTCTTTTAGAGTATGTCCTAACTTGATTCCTTGCATAATCATTTTTATCACAGAGGTATTTCCTCCTTTTTAACAGCTACTATACCCTTTTCCATTTTATTTAGATTATTTTCAAGGTGATTCGTCATCTGTAAATATTCATCTGAACTCATATTTATCTCCAGAAATTTCTGGAAGACATTGATTTGATTATCTATTTTTTGCAGAGTATTATCCCTCCTTTTTACTATTAGACCCATAAGACCAAATGAGAAATTTTCAAGCATATCCAGCCATTCTTGGACAAATTCTTGTTCATCCTGATCAAACGAAGGGTTCTTTGTGAATCTTAATCCCCTAGGGGTAATCTTTTCCCGTAAATATTTCTTCATTGTGGCAACCTCCCACTTTATTTTCATCTCCCTGTTCAATAATTTTTCTAAATCATATTGACTCTTTTTTTTTATCAAAGCTTAGTACATGTTCATTCTGGAGAGGTATATCTTGATCATCAAATAGAGTATCAATATCTTTACCACAATTGACCCTGTTGTTAAACACCGTCATATTTATAGAAAGTAGCAGCACACACAGTGAAAAGAGAACAAAAGTTGAAATTCAAACAATAGTGGTTACTGTGTCCAGTGCGCTTATAAGTATACCAAAGTGATATGAAAGCTGCTACACACTCTAGTGGGTGCTCTCTATCCCCCACTAAATATAGAAATAAACCAGAGTGAGTCTAGTATAGACTGGATAAAAATCCCCCTTTAAAGGCACCTAAGTCTACCATCTAGAACCAGGTTCGCATTGGCTCAGAACAAGGTGAGCACTACTATAACTACTGTCTATGCATTCAAAGTTATATACATAGTACACTAGGGGGTTTCTCCCTTTCTCTTCTTCCTTTTCTCTTTGAGGAAATCCACTTCAGTTAAAGGGTGCAGTGTCTCCATACGACACTACTGTTGAAGAGATTTGAGCCTGTCCTTCTCTGAGGCTCTAATCCATGTGAGTTTCACCATTGATTAATTATCACAATATCCTCTTCATCTACGGATTCACACTATATTGTGTTGTATTTTTTGTCTCATTTACATGTACATATATACATCTGTGATTTAACCCTAATTGAGGGTAAGTGTGAATACACAGCGCTCCACTCATTTGACTAGTACGGTCTGGATTTTTATCCAGTCTATACTAGACTCACTCTGGTTTATTTAACATTCTAGGGTCTAGAGTTATACAAATGGTATTAGCTATTCAAGATACAGGTGAGTTATACAAACAGATCCAAAGGCTTAGTCTGGTAAATGTCATTGTGATGAGTGATTAACAGTGAACACAGTCAGCGTCACTAGAAGGAAACTATAAGAATGAGGAAGTAATAAGAGAAAGGTTGCTCTCGTTGTATAAGGACTGGCACTCAAGGAGTAGCACAAGTACAGGTAAGTGAAAAAGCCATGAAGTAATGTGGCACATTATTCACATGCAAGGCAGACACTTTTGACACATGAATTGTTGGCTATAGTAAGGGCATCATTCACTTATATCTTTGTAGAGACTGTAAGTTTCTGCACAGCAGGATAGGGGTTTCTCACTGTAGGCTTTGTAGATTTTAACATAGATTGAAATATTCAGATGTATATTATGTGTGTTTTAAAATGGATAAAGTGCTCTGATACGTTTTATTAATTTATTAAGTAACAATGCTACAAGCTGAAAAGACAACAGTGGGTGAGTAGGTATCAGTGGGAATATAAAAATAGCTTATAAGTTAGAGGTTGCATAAGTTAAGTTAAGTTTAGGATCTGTGAATGGAACTGCACCAGCATAAATAATGTCTACATTTAATAATTCCAAAATGGAATGCAAATATTATCAGTAAACCTTCAAATAATATATTGATGGAAACATGAACTGGTGGTACTATAGCAATTAAATCTTACTCAGCTCCTCACTGAATCTAACCCTCTCTATCACCCTACCTAATACAATCTCTCTCTTTCTGTCTCACATTCTTTCACTTACAATTTTTTTTGTAATCAAATCTCTTCCTACCTATCTCTTGATGAATCTGTCTCACCTGCTCTCATTTGTCCTATTTATTTGTTCTCCAGAACTGAGAATACAAGGATTTGTCCACATGATGTGGACCTTGCCTTTGCTCCTCTACCTGTGGCCAACCTTCGTTCAGACTCAGAATAACAATGAACTGTAAGTAGAAAGGAATGATCTGCAGGGTGAAAAGTTATGATCGTATCAGAAGTTGATACTGTGTAAAAAAGATTAAAACATTGATATTATTTATTTCTTTGAATAATGTTTAGACACAGTTATAATTGAGGATTTATGTGGTGTGACTATGCAGACTTTTTCTCTATAAGGTGGAATATGGTCTAAACACACACTCCACATAAAATAAGCCAGGTAGTCTAATATTGCAAATTGTACGTATCAATCTATTAAATAGTTGACATTTTATTATGCGCAAATGTTTTTTGTAATGTCTGAGATGTAACCCATAAAAAGAAAGCGAGAGAGTGTGCATGTAGGGGGGAGGGGGTGGTTGAGTCTCCAAAAAGAAGTAGAAGTAAGGGCAATAGAAGTACGGGCAATTCATATGAAAGCAAATACAAATATTCTAATATACAGTATATATGTAAGTATATACATTACTCATGAAATACTGAATTTTAAGAAACTGAAATACAACTGTCAAAAAATAGCTTACAATTACCAATTTTTCCAAATCAGCTATTGTTGCCTAAATGTTGCAATTTGAATTTTAATTATTATTATTATTTCATTATTTATACAGCGCCAGCAAAATTCCGTAGCGCTGTACAATTCACGCCAGTTTTGTATTTAGTGAATAAACTCTCTCTCTCTGTGTTTGTTCCAACCAATTCATGAACAAAGAGAATTAGGTAAGGGTCACTTGTGTCATATGGAGTAGACAAGACAATAGGAGGCTTACTCTCCAGGTATAGAATGTATATCTAAGGTTGCAGAGGGCATATACAATGGATGTAGATTAAGAACGTGTGAAAGCTTTAGAGTGGGTAGTGGGGTGGGACAAGTTCTGTGATTTAGTGCTGTAGGGTGAGGATTTGGTAATTTGATAGGCAGATGATATGTTAGCAGTCTATTGTCTGGTCATTTCACACAGGATACAGCTCATTAGACAAACAACAATATTTAGTAACAAGTAGTAATTAGTAACTATAAATTACATCATCCTTAAACAAAAGCTAGACTAATACATGTTCTATATCGGGACAATTAGCACTACCAAATATTAAGCAACAAATCAGAATATGCTAATGGTAACACATAGCCCACCATATGTATACATAAGAGAAAGTTCTTAGAGAAAGTGCAGAGTATGAGTATTGCCTTGAGCTCTGCTTGTGAATTGATGCCTAAGGAACAGGGATGGAGGTAAGGCACAGTTATACATAGAAACATAGAATGTGATGGCAGATAAGAACCATTCGGCCCATCTAGTCTGCCCAATTTTCTAAATACTTTCATTAGTCCGTAGCCTTATCTTATAGCTAGGATAGCCTTATGCCTATCCCACGCATGCTTAAACTCCTTTACTCTGTTAACCTCTACCATTTCAGCTGGAAGGCTATTCCATGCATCCACTACCCTCTCAGTAAAGTAATACTGATATTATTTTTAAACGTTTGTCCCTCTAATTTAAGACTATGTCCTCTTGTTGTGGTAGTTTTTCTTCTTTTAAATATAGTCTCCTCCTTTACTGTGTTGATTCCCTTTATATATTTAAATGTTTCTATCATATCCCCCCTGTCTCGTCTTTCCTCCAAGCTATACATGTTAAGATCCTTTAACCTTTCCTGGTAAGTTTTATCCCGCAATCCATGAACCAGTTTAGTAGCCCTTCTCTGAACCCTCTCTAAGGTATCAATATCCTTCTGAAGATACGGTCTCCAGTACTGTATACAATACTCCAAGTGAGGTCTCACCAGTGTTCTGTACAATGGCATTAGCACTTCCCTCTTTCTACTGCTAATACCTCTCCCTATACAACCAAGCATTCTGCTAGCATTTCCTGCTGCTCTATTACATTGTCTGCCTACCTTTAAGTCATCAGAAATAATCACCCCTAAATCCCTTTCCTCAGATGTTGAGGTCAGGACTCTATCAAATATTCTGTACTCTGCCCTTGGGTTTTTACGTCCAAGATGCATTATCTTGCACTTATCCACATTAAATGTCAGTTGCCACAATTTTGACCATTTTTCTAGTTTACCTACATCATTTGCCATTTGGCTTATCCATCCTGGAACATCAACCCTGTTACATATCTTAGTATCATCAGCAAAAAGACATACCTTACCATCAAGACCTTCTGCAATATCACTAATAAAAATATTAAAGAGAATGGGTCCAAGTACAGATCCCTGAGGTACCCCACTGGTGGCAAGTCCAAGCTTTGAATATATTCCATTAACTACAACCCTCTGTTGCCTGTCACTCAGCCACTGCCTTACCCATTCAACAATATTGAAAGGTTTACCATCCAGGTTCTATAAGCAAAAAAAATAATAATTACAGTATATACTCGAGTATAAGTCTAGTTTTTCAGCACATTTTTTGTGCTTAAAAACCCCCACTCGACTTATACTCGAGTCACTGTCTGTATTATGGCAACTTAGAGAGCTGCGGCCGTCAGAGCCATGGCAACGATCCGCGCGGCAACCAGACCGCGAGACTTACAGTGGAGCTGACCGTAACGGAGGAGAAGGGAGCTGACAGGAGCTGCAGGAAAGGTAAGTAAATGCTTCCTGCCGGCCCCCCCACTTCACAGCCCATGCCACTGGACCACCAGGGATTAAGATAGCCCTCCTCCCTGACCAGTTAACAAGCAGGGAGGAGGGACAAAATAAAATTAAAATAATAAAAAAATAATAATATTAAAATTAAAAAAATTAAAATAATAAAAATGCCCTCCCCACCCAGTTCACACACACTACACAAACACACACTCTGCATTATATACACAGAGTGTGTGTATATAATGCAGAGTGTGTGTTTGTATGAGTGTGTGTGTGTATATAATGCAGAGTGTGTGTTTGTATAAGTGTGTGTGTTTGTATGAGTGTGTGTGTATATAATTATAAAAATCACAGAATTTCATAGCCCCAAGTTTTACCCTCGACTTATCCACGAGGCATAGCATATTTCACAATTGTTGGTCACAAAACTGCACTCAACTTATACACGAGATCGACTTATACACGAGTATATACGGTATATAGACATGAAATATTGGTTGAATACATTTATTGGAAATAACAATGAAAAACTGTATCCTACAAACCAATAATTTTATAACATGACAGGAGGCTTCGTATTTGCTTAAGACTTTCTTTACTTAAGCTTCACAGCAGCACTTTTTCACATAGTAACAAGGTAACCAATAGGAAAAAAGGAATAACAAGGTATATAGGTCCCTCCCAGTGATGTCATTTCCTCTTTCTTTTCTGCTTCACACCAGTACAGGTCAGAGTGCCACTGTCTCCTACTTCTGTGGGTTTCTGTGGTTTATCTACTAATTTATCTGTCATCTGCTTTATTCATTTTTCTGTTCATATATACATACCCTACTTATCATATACTTTTGAGTTTGCTCTTTTAACTATTACTTTCCTAAATTTATCTATTTAATATATGTTTTTTCCTCATTTCATTTTTCTTTGGTATTTCTTTTTATTTCTCACTATCCTGTCTATTTTTTCCATTTTATTGCTTTTACCTTTGCTCTAGCCCGGTTTTCTTCATGCGGCATTTTTCCCCTGTTTTCCCGGGCTTTTCGGACCGTGGGGAACGCCTCCAACGGTCCTGAGTGTACACGGCGGCCATCTTGGATCTCGCGCTCCTCCGCGAGATCCACACGGCTGTCTCTCCTCTCTAGTGCGCACGCGCGAGATCGCGGCGGCCATTTTCTTGGAGCCGCGATCTGCATTTCACCCCGGCCGTGCGGCGGCCATTATACCGCTTTACACAGCGGTTATATGTATTTATATTAAATCTTTTACTGTTCTTAATTTATCAATTTAATTATCAGTTTATCTATAAGTCTAACATAATTTCTGGCATACTCCCCTCATTCACATAGGAGGGAGTTTCACTTCAAAGCTTAGTGCATCTTTGCCTCAGTCTACCTCCCCCTGGTGGTGAAACTTATACTGCATCCAAACTATCTTGCACATTTTATTCTCATACAATACCATTTTACTTGGATTTACATCAATATATTCCTACATATAAATGGAGTCACTTTTCTCTATATATTTATTTTGAGCAATTCCACATATATCCTTTATGATTGATACATCTCATATTTATACTGTGCATGTGTAAGGTTAATTACCTAAATTTAATATATGATTGCTGTTACTTTATACAGCCCATGATTGGCCCGCTTTGTCTGTGCCACTATACCTCTATACGGGTATGAAAAAGTATTCCCTGAGGTGATTTATACTGGGTGACCCCCAATTACAGCTTGCAATGTGGAATTATAACATACTGTGATATTTCGTGACGGCCTTACAATACACTCTAACACTGGCCTATTCTGCCCCAGAGGTACCAACACTGTTGCTATGGAGGCTTCAAATCAAGATCAAAACTTGCAAGCAATTATTAATGCAGCTGTGGCTGCTTCACTAGAAAAGGCCCTGGCTCGGGTGCTGCCCGTTGAATCAAAAGATCCTAAAAGTTCAGGAACCCCGCATTCTGATGAAGATGTGGAGGATTCCGACTCCTCAAAAAGAAACCCTTCCAAACCCAGTAAACGTTATTGGAAAGGGAATGGGCCTGAACCACTCAAATGCAAGGGGAAAGAACTGGCAAAATGCCCTAAACAGGCGGATGTTAGAGAGAAACACTCCATCCAGCCTACTCTGTCGGAAGAGGACGAAGACTCTTTCGACTTACACCCCTTAGCCATCCTAGATGAATGGCAAGCTGACCACTCCTCAGAAGATGAGGAAGACTGGCCTGAGACATCTTTTAAGGGAGCACCTCGCCCTCAATCTATCTTGGGAGAACTCCCAACCGAAGATAAGATACCCGGATCAAATCCATCTGGAGACGCTGAATTTTTTCTGGATACACTTGGCCAGCCTCTTTTTGACCCAAGACAAATTAGATATCCCCGATCATCTGAATGGTCACTACCAGACCATCTTTCCCAGTATATTCATTTCTGGATCAGAAGGCCCCTAGATCGGGAGATTCGAAAAAGACTACGAGCGGAATGCCCTAGACCCACTCTACCGGATAAGGTGGCGGTGACTCCGGAGTTTGATACGCTACTCTACACATATCTGGCCAGATCGGGCCGTGACCCAAGGAAGGGCATTGAGCGCAGCCTACGCCTCACCCAAGATAAAATGCTAGATATCTTAGGACCTCTAGCTAAAATTCTTCTACTGGCTGATGAAGCCTTATCTAATGAAGGCCCTCTAGACCCATCTGTGATTAGAGAATGGGCGCTACGCTCTATTTGCCTGCTGGGCAATGTGAATACATCCCTCTGTACTGAGCGTAGAAAAGCAGTGCTGCTGCGTATGGATGCCAAGTTAGCTGACTTGGGATCCAAAGAATTGGGCCCCAAAGCAAAGGGTCTATTGTTTGGAGAACCCTATATTAAAGAATTGCATAAGCATGTAAACCTATACGCCACACTAAACAAGGCGCAGTCATCCATGAAAAAGGGTATTTCATCATCAACCCTCATGGGTTTTTGGCAGGGCTGGCCGTACAAGGGGTCGTACAGTCAGCCGTTTCTGGACCACAAACCAATGCCAGAGAACCCCAACTTCATCATTCTTCCCCAACTATCAATCAAGGGGCTCTTTCACCCAAAGGGCGGATAAGGGAAGAGGATACAGATCCCGCGGACGCAACAGATATCCAACAGGTGAGATTTCCTACCTTTCACCTTTCTACTGTTTACCATGCGGGCAGGTTGTTACACTGTGTAAACATGTGGAAGACACTGTCTTCAGATGCCTGGGTCCTAAACACAGTTCAGGGTTATTCCATAGAGTTTCACTCTCTCCCTTCTCAAACAGATTACCCTTACTATCAAAAATGTCAAAGTCTCAAAGTCTCCTTCTAGATTCAGAACTACGTTCTCTTTTGACAAAAGGAGCGATTCAACTCGCTCCACTAGACGAAGGTTTCCTCAGCTCCATCTTCTTATTCAAGAAGAAATCAGGGGACTTTCGCCCAGTAATCAACCTCCGTCAACTAAACTCTTTCGTTATTTACAGACATTTCAAAATGGAAGGGATTCATCTCCTCAGAGACATTCTCCGACCAGGCGATTGGTTCACTCGTCTCGACCTAAAGGACGCTTACCTCTCGGTTCCAGTCCACCCATCCAGTCAGCGTTTTCTCCGCTTTCTTTGGCACCACCGGATTTTCCAATTCACCTGCCTTCCATTCGGTCTGAGTTCCGCCCCGTGGTGCTTCACCAAACTGCTCAAACCAGCCACCGCACATCTTCGAGAAAACGGCATCCGCTGTTTGATTTACTTCGACGACCTCTTGCTTCTCTGCGAAGACGCATCCAGACTGCGTTCACAGACGAACTATACATCTGCATTGATCGAATCTTTGGGGTTCGTCATAAACCAAGAGAAATCGTCACTGTCCCCATCCAGAGTTATTCAATTTTTCGGCTTCGAGATCGATTCTTCAACCTGTGTTCTTCGTCTACCTCAATCCAAGTTAACTGTGATCAGGAAGGAACTACGCAAAACACTTCGTCAAGAGGATTTACCTCTCCGAGGTTTAGCTCGAATCGTAGGCCTACATTCTGCTTCTATTCAGGCAATCTACCCAGGCCCCCTTCACTACCGGGCCATGCAACGCTTGAAAGCTCAATTCCTTCTGACTCATCCATCATACGACCAGAGGGTCCCGATCACTACGGAGGTGAGGGAGGAACTCCTTTGGTGGCTCCGCCACATGTCGGCCTGGAACGGCAAGGCAATTTTCGGTCCTACCCCGGACTATGTAGTGGAATCAGATGCGAGTCTCCAGGGTTCGGGTGCAACCTGTCATACAACCTCCACCGGAGGACCATGGACCACCTCAGAACACTTTCTCCACATCAATTGTCTGGAGTTAATCGCAGGCTCGTTCGCAATTCGCAGTTTAACCAACCATCTCTCAAACTGCTGTATTCTCCTTCGGATGGACAATATCTCAGCTGTCCAATACATCAATAAATTGGGCGGGGCCAGATCCCGCATCCTCTCCAAAGTGACAAAAGACATCTACGAGTTTTGCTTCCAACGCAACATCTCACTTCGAGCGGAATATCTCCCAGGGGAATCGAACATCACCGCAGATTGGTTCTCCCGACATTGGAGAGACGGCAGCGACTGGCGCCTACACAGAACAATCTTCCTCCACATCTCCAAACTCAGGGGCCCGTTTACCCTAGACCTATTCGCCTCCCGGACAAATTTTCAAGTCCCACGGTTTTTCAGCTGGCTTCCAGACCCAGAATGTTTAGCTGTAGATGCCTTCCTTCAGAGTTGGCCGACGACGGGAGCCTATGCTTTTCCTCTGTTTGCAATGATTCCCAGAGTTCTCCTTCAGATTCGCAGACAACAGATCACTCTGGTACTACTCACCCCACTATGGCGGGGCCAAGCTTGGTTTCCGGATCTTCTGGACCTCTCCTGCCAAGAGCCCCTCCTTCTGCCTCCATGGCCCAATCTCCTGGAGGATCCTCAAGGGAACCTTCATCCAATGGTAACACAAGGCCACCTCCAACTTGTAGCCTGGACTCTTTCAGGGGAACCTGGCACTTCGGAGGACTATCGCAGAGATCTAAGGAACTCCTATGGGATTCGTGGGCTCCTGGAACTAGAAGATGCTATCTTTCCTCCTGGAACGCTTGGTGCAATTGGTGCCTGGAATGGAATACCGATCCCCTTACGGTCCCTAGACAGTTCATTTTGAATTTCCTCTCTCATCTATTCGATCTAGGCCGTTCCTACAGATCCATCAACGTTTCCTGTTCAGCCATCTCGGCAGCCCATGTTCCTCTAGACGGAGTTCCGGTGGGCCAGGATGAACTGGTTTGTAGACTATTGCGGGGCATCAAACTGGCTCGCCCCCCTAAACCGAAATACTCCCATCTGTGGGACGTTAATGTCATGATTCGTTTCCTCGAGTCCTGGCCGAACAACGAAGATCTATCCCTTTGTCAACTCTCTGCAAAATTCACTCTCTTACTTTGCTTAGTGTCCTTCCGACGAGTGTCGGATGTTCGAGCATTTGACCATGACTCTATCAACTTTTCCCCAGAGGGTGTCACTTTCTCCGTGTCCAGACGGACAAAATCAAACTCCTCTTCTATTTTTTACCCTTACTTCCCTAACCACCCGAAGCTGTGTGTGGTATCTCTTCTATCTCGTTATTTGTTTTTCACCTCCTCTCTTCGTCCAACGTCTTCCAGCCAACTTTTGGTCTCATACGTCCGGCCACATAATCCAGTGTCAACCACAAACCTTGCCCGATGGGTTAGGTGGTTGCTCTCCATAGCCGGGATTGAAGCCTCCTTCGGAGCCCACTCCATCAGAGGAGTGGCAGCATCGGGGGCATTCAGCGCTGGAGCCTCGCTTCGAGACATTCTTCAATCCGCTGACTGGTCCCGAGAACAGACGTTCCGCAACTTCTATTTTCGTCCGGCTGTGCACGCTTCCTTGGCCCTTCTCGGGGAGCGTTAAAACAGCAAATACGAAGCCTCCTGTCATGTTATAAAATTGTAGATTATGCTAGCTTTAGTGTACCTATAATCTTAATTTTATTAATGACAGGAGGCGAGTATTTCCCACCACTCCTACTTTCGTTTTTTTCTAAAACAAGAACGAACACACTATGCCTTACTACCATGGGGGTTAGGAGTTATTTTTCTATGATGTATAGATTAACTTTTCTAGCGAGCTATAATGTATGTTTCATATCAACTGGTTATCATAATTTCAAAGTCCAATTCACGGATTAATCCTTGGCTTCGACTCTGCTCTCTCGTTTCAGCATAAAACTCCCTTAAGAGATCCAGCCTAGTTGCTGCTCCATCACAAGCTTCTCCTCCACTCCAAGTTCTCAAGTCTACATTCCTGTCTCCCTCTCAAGCATCACTCTTCAAGTCTGGCATCCTGAATCACTCATCTGGTTCCTTCAGTTCCGGTTCCTATTTGTTCGCAGCCAGAAAGAGGAAATTACATCACTGGGAGGGACCTATATACCTTGTTATTCCTTTTTTCTTATTGGTTACCTTGTTACTATGTGAAAAAGTGCTGCTGTGAAGCTTAAGTAAAGAAAGTCTTAAGCAAATACTCGCCTCCTGTCATTAATAAAATTAAGATTATAGGTACACTAAAGCTAGCATAATCTACAATTAATCAGGCATTCCCTCCTATTCTCACACCCCAATTTGATATATGTAAGGAAATGGCGGCCTGGCTTTATGTAAACCTTGTGTAATCCCTTAAATAGAATGCTAGGGGGTCTCCAGTCCCCCATCATTAATGGTGCCAAATGCCAATCCCCTTCCTCAATCCCCACTATGGAGTGAGAGAGGTATAGTGCTAACAGGATGCCTATTCCAACCGACTCAAGATGGGCAGAGATTATCCAGGACAAAATGTCATAAACAATCCTTGCTTTACTTTTATACCCTAAATATTAGCAGGAATGAAGGCACATCCTTAGCTTTTAACATGTTTGATAAAATAGCTTGAAAACTAAATATTACATACAATACCTATCACATCTAGTCACATCACAACTGTCATTATATGCCCACCTGTTCTGATCTTGTGTATGCTGAAAATGGCATATTCTACCCATAAAGAAAAACTTGATCATAATTGATTCTATTTCAAAGTGGAATGTTTTACTCAGTGACAAGGATAATATTGCCAATTCAAAGCACTGACATCAACTTGTGATGATGTGTTGGATTGTAGCATAAATGTTAAAATAAAACATAAAAAAAACAAGTAACAAATTGTTCAAAGTTTTCACACCTAGATAATCAAACCCAAAATCCCAAGAATATATATATATATATAAAAACTGAACAAAATTATAAACGCAACACTTTTGTTTTTGCCCCCATTTTTCATGAGCTGAACTAAAAAATCTAAAAAAATTTCTATGTACACAAATGGTCTATTTCTCTCAAATATTGTTCATAAATCTGTCTACCTCTGTGTTAGTGAGCACTTCTCCTTTGCCGAGATTATCCATCCACCTCACAGATGTGGCATATCAAGATGCTGATTAGACAGCATGATTATTACAAAGGTGTGAGCCTCAAAACTTGCAACATCTGTGGCATTGTGCCGTGTGATAAAACTGCACATTTTAGAGTGGCCTTTTATTGTGGCCAACCTAAGGCACACCTTTGCAATAATCATGCTGTCTAATGAGCATCTTGATATGCTACATCTGTGAGGTAGATGGTAATCTCAGCAAAGAAGTGCTAACTAACACAGATTTTGACAGATTTGTAAACAATATTCAAGAGAAATAGGCCTTTTGTCTACATAGAAAAAGTCTTAGATCTTGGGTGCAAAACCAGAAGTGTTGCGTTTATAATCTTGTTCAGTGTATATATATATATATATATATATATATATATATATATATATATATATATATGGAGAAATAAGGGATACACTCTCAGGTCTTTACAAAAAATCTGTTGGTATTTATTAAATAAATAAAAGAGTTACATCATCTGACCGACGTTGGTATTTATTAAATAAATAAAAGTTACATCATCTGACCGACGTCGGTCAGATGATGTAACTCTTTTATTTATTTAATAAATACCAACAGATTTTTTGTAAAGACCTGAGAGTGCATTCCTTAGTTCTCCATATATTCTACAACGTGGGATTGCACCAAGGCATCAAGATATTTATTTAATGGGAGATAGGGTGAGTGCCAAGCTTTCTATTTTTGTATATATATATATACATATATTAAGGCCTTTTGGCCTGTAATTGTGGGAGGGGCATATGACACACTCCTTCCCTACTTAAGGGACACCCCTTACCTGGCTCCATACCGTTCAAGGTCATCGCTGCATGAGGATCCACTTCCGGTTCTCGTACGACGCCATCTTGGTTTTCAGAAATCCACGATTTCTTCAAGTGTAGCTGTGTTCTGGAATCCCTTTTTGAAGGTCTTTTCCGCCCGTCCAGCTCCTTGTAAACTCCGGTCTTCGTCGAAGACAGCGTCCCAGGGACTTCAAAATCGTAAGTCCGACGCCTGGATCATTCCCACGGCGTTCCGTTTTTCAAACGGGTCCTCACTTTACGGCTCTCCGGCCTTACGGCAAGGTCGCAAATCATACGTGGTTTTCCCATTTCAGTTTATAAATTCGTGCTATAATCCTTTCAGCATGTTTGTAATGTATTACATATGGTACTCATGCACACCATTTCGTGTCATTTCATTTTCATTCATTTTACCGAAAAGCACTCATTCATGCTGCTTTCCGTTCGGTTTAATTCAATCGGTACACATTATCTTGCATCTAGGTCGGTCAAACTTGCAGAATGACACTGCTCTTTCTTTTCATTCTAATGGAGCTTTCGGCAGTTTTGCTCAGTTATGCACAAATTCGTTCACATTTTGCATACGGCAAACTCTGGTTCTGTTTATATACCTTTCTATGTACTGTTATAAATTTGTTTAAATCTGTCATACTTTTATATATATACTTATTCATACCATGCTAGGTTTTTCATTTTGATTAACATTTTCTCATGTATATTGGTTTAGTTTATAGTTATTTAAGTTACTTAATTATAGATATTTCAGGTATATTACAGTTATGATTTAGCCTACAATTATGGCTTATTCCTAAATTCTTAAGGAGATCATGCTTTTATTCAACCATGTACATCAGGATTACATGGCTCTTACAATCTTCAGACCATTTCTTGACATACTCAGACGACATACCACGAGTATACAAGAACACAGTCCTATCTTTCACAAGACTTTCGGGTTGAATCACACGCTTTGGTTCAACCATTCATATGTCACGTTACAAAAACTTTTTTGTCACTTCACAAAATTCACCTCATCCACATCATTCCAATTTTATGCCATGGCACATATATATATTCTATACATAGTCATTCCAACCCTCCCTGCACTTTTTAATACTCAAACCCTAGCATTTCCCACATCACTTAGTGACATACGTATCATTTGGTCACCCTCTGTAGACACACATACACGGCCAAGCCCCTACTACCCGGTTCAAACTCAGCTTTACGCCTAGCATGGGCCAGTCATGTCACTATCATACTCATAGTCTTTTTACCTCCCGCAAATACTGGTAGAAGCCCATACCCCACCTTTACATACTACAAGTCTCACAGGATCCATGCTCACTCTATCACTTTGTTTCTACCCATTTAGGTTTATCCAGGTGTTGTTATACCTGTCGAATCTCAAAACTTTATACATACTACCAGGTACGTAAGCCTGCTCACGTTGTAGTTCACATACGTTTCATTTTCTCTAGGCCATAGAGTACTGGCAAGTTAGGGGTATAGGCCCAAATAGGTATCTCCCTTCTTGGCATTCTGCCTATCGTTTAGTGGTCCGCGAGGCCAACACCCCGCCTCAATGTTTCGGAGGCAACGCCCATCGGGCCACACGTGAGTTAGCCGCCTCGCAATATTATAGAGAGGGCCTCACCTGTCACTCCCTCCCCCTGTTTTCTTTTACTGTCACTGAGAGGCCTACGATTCCTGCCACTACGACGGGTGGCCTCAATATCCCCTCGCGCCAACGCATAGACAGAGCCTCTCATAGCCACTTGGCAACTAACAGGGCCTCACCTGTCACCAAACAAGATTAATTTTTCGCCTTTACAGCCTAGTTAGCCTGCCAGTACCACCCCTGGGTTCCATACACTAACCAAAATATTTTTATCATTTAGTATGTCTCAAGAAGGGGTAGGGATTTCTCCCTACCGGGCACCGCGGCTAGAGCAAACTCCCCATAACAGGGAGGAGAGGTGGCTAGTCCAGCATCTTTTAGGTCATGGACAATCCCTCGCATTACCAACAAACTCAGGAGATGGCAAATCCCGTTCCCTGCTACAGCAAGGAAAGCAGAACTCTACAAATTACTGCACACCTCTACCGATAACATTGAGGCCGGGGAAGGGACTAGCCAGTCTAACCCAGGAGAAATACACGGCATGCTCTCATCCCTCATGGCATCCATGAGCAAGGTCAATTCCAGGCTGCAGAAACTTGAATCGGTCACCACAGCCCTTACCATGGTTAGGCCCGCCGCTCCGACCCCTCCAGCACTGGTCAAGTTGCAATCAGTTTCTCCAGCCACCACCTCTGATGATCAAGAGGTTAACCCTGCTCATATGATACCTGAGCACCTCAAAAGAGATATCCTGGAAGGTAAAGATGTCAACTTGGCTTCATTGCTGATTGCCTCCCAAGATGTGGTGGAACATAAGACTTACGCTTATGATGATATTTCTGTGGTGGTCAAATCTAGGGATGCCCGATTAAACAGGAAACTGACCATCCCTGAATTTGTGTTGGCATTTGGCATTTATCGTGATGTTATCTGTGCAGTATATCCCCACAGACCTGAGGAGTTTGATTTGTATATGCACAAGCTGGTGGACCTGGGCAACAAATATGGTGGGTCAGCTTTCTATGATTACCATAGATCCTTTTCTGCCAAGGTGCCTGGCGCTTTCTCCCAGTACGGGACAAGGTCCAACTTTTCCAAGATTGATACGGTCATTTTCTGCAGACACTTTGCAGGTCTAAGAACGCCGGCTTGTGCATACTCCTCCTCCATGGCTCAAACGGCTAATTTCTGTCCAACCACTGCGAACGAACCTGCCCCCTCGCAGGGCACTAGTTCCACTGGTTCTGCAGAAAAAACACCCAAAGACAAACTGGACGGCCTATCAAGTTTCTGGGCAAGTCCTAGATATGTAATAATTTTAATGTCGGATCATGTAATTATAGTGGATGTTGGCCATTGCATATATGTTTAAAATGTTACAGGGCACATGCCAAAACCATGTGTCCTAATAAAATGTTTCCTAAACAATACTTAACGTCGATAAACATTTCTGTACTTACGACATTACTGTCACATCATCCATCTAGACATTTGGTAGAATTCATTATATCGGGGCTATCAGAAGGATTCCACACAGGTCTCATACACATGCCTTCCGGAATCCTGGAATGTCCAAATTTACAATCCGCACAACAAAATCCTACAGCGGGTGACACACTCATAGCCAAGGAAGTGGCAGAGGGCTTCCTATTGGGGCCCTTCCAGTCCCCTCCTTTCACCACATGGCGAACAAACCCCATCGGTATTGTCACGAGGAAATCTTCCCACAAACAGAGACTTATCATCGATCTATCGGCACCACACACCTCTGCCACTCCTAGTCTGAACTCCCTTATACCCTCTGAGGAATTTTCACTGCACTATTCCACCATAGATCACGCCATTACGGCTATCATGCAGGCAGGGGTCGGAGCATGGCTCAGTAAGACCGATATAACAAATGCTTTTAAGTTACTGCCTATCCACCCTACACTCTGGCACCTACATGGCATCAAGTGGGCCGGGAACTACTACTTTTTCTCACAATTAACTTTTGGTTACAAAAGTAGTCCAGCCATCTTCGACGTATTCGCCGAAACCCTATGCTGGTTATTATTAAATGTAGCCAGATGCCCTACAGTTATACATTATCTGGATGATTTCTTACTGGTCGAGGATAATATTTCCCCTCCCAGTAGCCTCAAAGAAACCATCAGTCTTTTCAAACAGTTGTGTGCCCCAGTCTCCCCCACCAAGACTGAAGGACCAGATACCTTCATCACATTCCTGGGTACCATACTAGACTCAGCCACCATGCAAGCGAGCCTGCCACGCAACAAGGTAGAAAACATTCTTACAAACATAAATCTCTACATACAACTCGATACTTGCAACCGCAAAGAACTACAGTCTCTGCTGGGGTCACTAAATTTTGCTATGCGCATCATACCTCAAGGCTGGGCTTTCATCTCACGACTCCTTCACATGTTCACACTTTTCAGACATGATGCACACAGGTTATCCCTGGATACCACAGCCACGGCAGACCTACTCATGTGGAGAAACTTTTTGACCACCTGGAATGGTAAAAGTATGTTCCTCCCTAAATTGTCTGACTCCTCATCTACCATCTGGTCAGACGCGGCGTCTACCAAAGGTTTTGCAGCAATTTACGGAACGAATGACTTTGGGGTAGCTGGCCTTCAGAAGTTAAGGACCTGGAAGGTTTTTCCACTACCTCAGCTCTGTTTGAGATATATCCCATAGTGGCGGCTGCCGTGGCATGGGGGCATTTATGGGCAGGTTCGCCAGTACGTTGCTACTCAGACAACCAAGCAACTTGCCACATTATTAACAAAGGCCGATCCAAATCACTAACTATTATGAGATTCCTGAGAAAACTCACTTGGTTGGCTGCATGTCATAATTTCTTCTTGTTTTGTGTTCATGTTCCAGGTGTATGTAACACGGCTGCTGACAATTTGTCTCGTTTTAATTTCCAGGCCTTTCGTCAAATACTCCCGTCAGCCATACTCACAGCCACGACCACTCCACTATTCCACCATCTAGTAATGGACTAGACGCTATCATGCAACATAGCAGAACATTGGCCCAATTAGCACTGTCTACTAATACCCGAAAAACTTACGACAGAGCTTTCATTTTATTTAAAAGATTCCTTTCGGAACACAACATCTTACAACCTTTAATCATGACATCATTGTTGGGCTTTGCTTCTTTTTGCCACCTCAAACTCAAATTATCATACAACACAATCAAACTATATCTGACAGGCATCCAACATCACATGCTAACTTTACAACTCAACAATTCAAGTTTCATGTCCGCCTACCAAATTAAGAACATCCTTAGGGGTATTCAGAGATCCAAACCTCCACGTACGGCCCAGAGACTGCCCATAGATTTCCATATTTTTAAAGACTTATCCAACTTACTAGATTTAAAACCTTTTGCCAACAGCACAAATCTTGTCATTAAAACCACCACATACGTAGCTTTTTATGGTTTCTTGAGACCAAGAGAATTTACCGCCATCAGCACAACACAGTCCACTCACATCCTACTTCATTTACACTTAACAAAACACACGGACTCTTATACCCTGACTCTGCCTCATTCCAAAACCAGTCAACATGCACCTCCAGTAGAGGTTAAGTACTATCCTACTCACAACAGGTGGTGCCCTGTCAAACTACTGGATTCATATACCAAGCATACCAACACATCACCACATCAACCACTTTTCAGTCTACAAGGTTCGGTACTCACTACCACCACCTTCATGATACACGTCAGGTCCTTACTTACTCAGCTGGGCCTCAAATCAGCTAACTATTCGGGCCACTCCTTCCGCATAGGAGCGGCCTCCACAGCATCCAGTGCAAACATCCCAGTTCATGTTATCAAGTCACTGGGGCGCTGGAAATCATCAGCTTACTCTAGATACATACCTAACCCGGTACAAGAAGTAAGAAATGCTTTTCAAAACATGTCTGGTTAAATGTACGTATATTGCTGGTATGTAATAAATTTGATTTTCTATTTTTGCCCTCTTTATTTACAGGCTTACCTCATCGTCGGTTCCGGCACACCACAAGCGACTTGCTCTTTTAATACCATCCTATACTTATCAGTGTTTGTTTCTTCTGTACTATCATGAGCCCTTACCACAAATATATATATTTGTATAGTATTACTATTTATGTTATATTACCCTATATTTATATAAAATAAAATGTAACTAAAATGTATTTGCAGATATTTTGGTCTGTTTGTCCCATCTGTTCTGTATTTTCCATCTGATGGGACCTTTTGCATTCACACGGATGGAAATCTTGGTAAATACTCCGCTTTGACGGTAAACCTAGAGTCCGAATCTGGAACCACTAACCTTCATACTGTACAGGACGCGAGCCAGGGTCCATTTCACTGTCATGTCTTTCAGGTGAATGTTATTACCATTATAAGGCCACTAACTAACTCTATTAGATTAAAAAAAGGATTATGCAATAACATGTAAATGCATTTGCATCAAAGACCACATTATTTCCTCCTTCCTTTCATTTATCCTTATTCTATAATAATTAAATTAATCCCGTTCATTCCATGATACTTGTTGATGACTGTATTTCAGATACTTTACATGGGCGTCTGCAGGGGGGGTAAAGGGGGGAACTTGCCCCCCCCCCCTGGATTTTTCAGCTTGTTCTGATATTTTTAGTGTGATTGAAAATGAACTGCAATACCTGCAATACAAACATATATTCCTGACACCATAGTTGTGAAAACGCTATTCACCCTGGCTTTATGTGATAATGGCAATGCCCCTTCCCTTTCATGACACTGTCAAAAAGGTACCAAGCATGGATGTCATGACAATTATGCCAAAAATATATGTTTGTATTCCTGACACTATAGTGTTCCTTTAAGCAAATTAAAGGACCATTCTGGTCACCATAACAACATCACCTAAATGAAAATGCTATGATGCCAGGAAGCCCCTGGGTGCTCGCTTTCCTTTAAGGGGTTAAATCACTCTCAAATGGTTTAACCCCAAAGGCTTCCTCCAGCTCCAGGTCGCTCAGTGGTATTTGGCTTCTGAAACAGAGTGTCAGGAAGTGCAGATTGACGTCAGGCATGGGTGCCGCTGATTGGCTAGAGTGGACAGTTGACGCTCTAAGCCAATCGCTAGTTCCCGGTTCATAAAATATTTTTACTTTTTTATGAATGGGGAGCTACTGATTGGCTTAGAGTGCCAGCTGACTGCTCTAGCCAATCAGCAACACCCCTACCCAACGGCACTCTGTGCTTCCTGACACTCAGTAAATAAAAGTGAACACATTAATACTGATATTTTTTTACCTTTGGAGATGAGAAGGTCCAGCATTTCCCTGCCTGGCCCAGGTACCAAAGCCTTATGATGTGGTGTCCAGGATAAAGTGGAGGATTCACTTCATTTGTCCTTCCTGCTCCAATCTCCTTTTCCTCTCCTTCATTTGACAGTCTTTTTTTTTTCTTCTGACACTGTTTTCTATCCTTGACCTTTCTGCTACTTTATGCTTATTTTGCGCCCTTCTGCTCCTTTCTCATTCTGATCCCTTTCTGCTCCTTGCAGACCCTTTCTCCTCCCTTTTCTACTTTATCTTTGTGCTCCTTGCTGTCCCTTTCTGCTCCTTCTCCTACTTTACCTTTGTGCTCCTTCTGACTCTTTCTGCTCCTTTACCTTTGTGCTCCTTCCTGCTCCTTGCAGGCCCTTCCTGCTCATTCTCCTATTTTACCTTTGTGCTCCTTCTGCCCCTTCCAGCTCATTTCTGACCCTTTCTGCTCCTACTTTACCTTTGTGCTGCTTTACCTTCCAGCTCCTTGCTGACCCTTCCTGTTCATTTCTGTTCCTTTGTGCTCCTTCTCCTACTTTACCTTTTGTGCTCCTTGCTGTCCCTTCCAGCTCCTTGCTGTTTCTGCTCCTTGATGTCCCTTCCTGCTCATTTCTGTTCCTTCTCCTTTTCTTACTTTACCTTCCTGCTCCTTGCTGACTCTTCATGTAGGCTGTCTCCCCCATCCCTCCATTCCATAGGTGTGTGCACGGGGTGTGTTGGGTGTGCATGGGCACGCCAATGGATTGACACCGGCAGGGGAGATCTCTGGATCTCCCCGGTCGGCTCATGCAGAGCCGACGCTATCCGAGGGAAGGCAGCAGGACTGGGAAGGCAGCAGGACTGGGATATTAACTAATCTGCCCCCACCTCCACCCAAACATCCAGCACACACACACACACAGCACCTACACACAGCACACACAGCCCACAAACAGCACCCACACACATACATCACCCTCGCACACACAGCACCCACACACACCCAGCACACTAACAGCATCCTCACAAACACACAAAACCCACACACAACACCTGCACAGCACCCACACACAAACAGCACACTCACACACAAACAGCACCCTGACAAACACACAACAAATAGCACACTAACAGGACCTGAACAAACACGCGCACACAAATACCCTCTCACACACACACACAGCACACTACCAGTTCCCTCACACACAGCACACTAACAGCACTCTCAAATCTATAGGCTGCTGCCCCCCCAAATCTATAGGCTGCTGCCCCCCCCAAATCTATAGGCTATCTCAAACCCTCCCCCATCCCTCACTCCCCTAATCAAACCCTCCCCCACCCTCTATGACTCCCCTTAATCTATAGGCTGCTGCCCCCCCAAAATCTATAGGCTGCTGTCACCCAACCTATAGGCTGCTGCCCCCAAATCTATAAAAAAAAATCTATAGGCTGCTGCCCCAAATCTATAGGCTGCTCCCCCCAAAAACCAGCCTCACTCCCTAACCTATAGGCTGCTGCCCCCCCAAAAAAAATCTATAGGCTATCTCAAACCCTCCCCCCACTTACCTGGTCTGTAGGCTGTCTCTGGCTGCATGTGTTGCTCCCCTGCGGTTTCAATCAGCAGAGAGAAGCAGGGATAAGATGCAGCTTCCTATCCCTGTCTCTCTCCATACACAGCGCCACCTACTGGCCGGTATTGCAGTTCATTTTCAATCACACGAAAAATATCAGAACAAGCTGAAAAATCCAGGGGGGGGCAAGTGCCCCCCCTTTCCCCCCACTGCGGACGCCCATGTGAGTGTATTTCTTTAATCACTCTGTGTTGTATTCTATAATAATTACTACATGAGCCAGGACTTGTATTGTTTACCAATATATGTATTTTGTTAATATCCTACTGCATATAGCTTCACCAGTTGCCAACACCATTTAAATAAAACATATTTCCCTTTTCCCTTAACTTTGCTATATATTCATTGTGTTTTATGTCTAAGGTACCTTCCCCCTCTGGTACCGAAGAGATAGTAAAAATTGAAATACGGGGACTGACCTCAGGGGATTCCTCTGATCAACTCAGCAGCAAATCCGTGGCCATCCGTAGAAAACAGAACGGAACTTTTATCCAAACAGACAAGTCTATATATAAACCTGGACAAAAAGGTAATCTAATTATATATGGCTGAGTGAATGCAAACATAAACTAAAGATTAAGCAGTACAATTAAATTATAAGCATGTGCAAAGGGTATGACAAGTGTGCCAAAAACACACACTAATACAAGGCTCAGTTACCACTTCTTACTGTTCCCCATTTAGGTTCCTAACTTCAATTATGTGCCAATCTGAAAAGCTTATTATTTGGCTAATGATAAAGAATAGTGTTTATCTTTGCAAATTATGTTAACAGCAATTTTTTTTATTTTTGTAGTTTTGTATTGGAAATGTAGGTATTCATTTAAAATATAGTTTAGTTATGTTTTAGTTTTTTGATAACTTGGTGTTTTTGTTTTTGTTTTTGCATGGATGTGTTTTCAATAAACATTTTCCTTTTATTAAAAAAAAAAATCCTCAGATGTGTACCGATTCTGAGCAGATCTATGTTTAAAATAACCGTTCATATCATCTCACATTTAACCTTTATACCTTATTAATACTGTGTTCTAGAAAAGCTACTTAAAAGCATTGCCTCTAGGTCTTTGTGTCTTTTGGTGTCTTACAGATGTCCCCTGCTGGAAGAAATCCAAAAGGGATTGCACAAAACAACTAATAAATAAAAATAAACAATAGCAACTCAGTTATTGTGCCCCAAATGTATTATGCTCTTTCATTAATATATATTTTTCCCATAAATGTTTTAGAACAATGTATTAAATAGAACAATTCGACAAACCCACAACTCCTTCCAAGTTGGACATGGATAGTCTGTGTTATGGAATAAATGATTCATTAACCTTGTGTCTTTCTCTTCTCCATAGTAAATTTCCGGATCGTTACCCTCAGTCAGGATTTGGAGACAAGCAATGAGAAGGTGAGCAACTTAAGTCACTTCCTCTTGATGATCAAGGTGGAATAGGGGGAGGTTAAAAATGTACCCACCAACAAAATCGTACTAGGTTTCTCATGATAATCAACATAAATATATATATTTTTAAAGTCCTTGTGTTTTTATTGCCGTGCTTAAATCCATTCACTATTTCAACCTGATTGACTTTTAGCTTTTTGAACTGCTAATATTGCATGTTTAATAAGTAATTTATCAATTAAATAAATATTAATAAAGAGAATAATGAAATAAAAATATTTAACCAAGAAAGGTGCATTTACATTTTGTGAGATTTTGCCAGTCTAGATGTTATCAAACTTCCTCCCCTCTGCATAGAACACATATGTGATTGAAACCCACATTACTTGCAAAGAACAATGCATAAGTAAAATTATTTTATATTATTTACTACTGTTTATTGTTTACCGTCCACTGTTTATGGTTATCTGCAGGCTTACAATATCAAAATTGGAGGCCTAAATTTTATACATACAACTCAATGCACAATCTAATGTGTAGGCTTTATTTCAAAACAATATAATTAAGACAATTAAATTAGGGTTCTTTTTGTCATTGAATCAAAGTAAAGTAACAGTTTGTTTTTATGATCAGTATGTTTCCTACTTGTCTGACAATTTCACTCTGTCTGTGTCTCTTTTTGTCAGTATCCATTGATCGAGTTACAGGTGAGTGCTGTCTAATCAATCTAACCTTAATGCTACATAAGTAAATTGATGCCAACACGAAATTATCTTCTCTTAAAAATAGAATCCTGTAAATATAATGTAAATCTCTATAAAAATGAATTTCCCCTAAAATGGTTTGCCAAAGTCTTGTGTTTAGCCAATTTAACACCTTGTACACTGATGATTTGATACTTTTATTGTTGTTATTCAACAATGTTGTGTCTCTACGCATTTAGTTTTATGAGTTTCATTACTGATAACACAGTATATCTGAAACAGAAGGTGGGAAATAAAAGAAATTGTGAAAGTGTAAATAGATCAGAAAAAAGGAGAAAGTTTAAGGTGTGCATGCCTAGAAGAGACTATCTGATAACTTTTATTTTTATATATTTTTAATTATTTTATGAAGAAATGGAAAGAGGTTGGGATGTCTGAGGGAGAGCAAGGAATAACCAGACATTTTATATTAGATGTTACTTTATCTGGGCAAGATCGCTGTGTAACATTATCTGACCTTACAAAGATGGCCAAATTCCTGACTGTATGATAGCCAGACATTCCTCATTGACAAGACTTAGGAGAGAAGAAGAGAGAGCATGCACCTTTAGGGCTGCTGGTATTTTATGTAGATGTCTGGCATTTCAAATATAATAAAGTTTTTTAATATTTCTTTTTAATTATTAACATTTCTAAAAATATATAATTTATAAAAAACTAAAATATCAAAATAGTAAGCAATATCAAAATAGTAATGCTTTTCTATGGGAGTGCTTAATGTGTTTGCTGTGCAGTAGCCCTCCCTGATCTGGGGATGTTGGAGGAGGCAGAGCACTGACCCAGCGCCGAAGGATATTGGTGCTGGAGTCGGTATGAGTACAGAAACTATATTTTAACCTTTTTAATGATGGGGAGGAGGCTGAAAAGACAAAGAGATTGACAGCTTTTGGTACACTATCCACATCAGTACATCCAGTGCAGTGAAGAGTATTCTTAATAAACAATGAATTATGACAGATCTTAAATAAACTTATAGTATACATGGAAAACTTGACATCAAACCCATGCAGTGTACACACAGAGTACCACTGTTTGTAATGTTGAATGTTTATTCATGTTGTTTGCGAAAGGACCCACAGAGGAATCGCCTGGCTCAATGGAAAGATGTCGTCCCCAACAGTGGCATTGTGGACCTCTCATTTCAGCTGTCTCCTGAGCCTGCCCTGGGAACTTATAACATCAAAACTGATTTAATAAACCACGTCTTCACTGTAGAGGAGTATGGCAAGTGGAAAAAAATAAATAGAATTATTCAGATTATAAATCCACAGATGGAAAGAAAGGAGTGCTTTCATTAAATTATTATGTTTTTGCTATTACAATAAAAGCAGCACTATAAAAAAGAGAAAGTGAGAGATTCACAAAATCTATATTGCTCTATCATGTGGATGCATATATTTGTATATAATTTGATGTAAAATGTGATTTAAAATCTGATGTGTTGCAAAACATTTAACTTCTGTAGATAATTTGAACTACTTGATTGTTGCTGCATCTCCTAGTCTTCCTCTTTCTCCATTCTATTGCATGATGACCAGTTCTTTACAGCCCATACCATATTCTCCAACACTTTCTTTTGTACCCTCCTACACACTCATCCATTCTCTGTAATTCACTACGATTCACCCATCATCTAACTTGTTTTTTTCTTCAGAGTTCTTTCTTTACATGATCTCAACTTTCAGTATAACATGTAACAACTAACCCTGCAGTTGCATCTTGTCTTCTTCTATCTTCAGTGCTTCCTAAATTTGAAGTGAGTCTTCAAGCTCCACCATCCATCACAGTTCTTGACTCAAATATGACAGTGACAACATGTGCCAGGTGAGACATCTGTGCCAGGTATTAGTGCACCCAGGATACTCTGGGAAGTACTAGAAGCAAATTTGTGGTAACACAGAAAGAACAGGTATGGTTAACAGAGTGAGCTGATTGGAACAGGTTTAAATGTTTCTCAGATGGTATAATTAGGGAATTGTTAAGGAACAGTCCAAGTGTAATTTCCCAATGTGTATATCAGGTATACATTTGGACAACCAGTTCCAGGCACTGTGACTTTCAAAATATGCCAAAAGTGTTGGGGGTCCTATTGGAGGAGGTGGGGACCTTCCAGTCAAGATGGAGAAAATAAAGAGGGAGAAAATGATGTTTGTCATCTTCATACAGCCAAGGTGAGAGATGGGAACAGAGTTGTAAGTTGGGATTGTTGTTTAAGAGAAGTAACAAAATAATTGAAAGTGAGTAAAAATGAACTTAATACAAGAGAGGATGTGACAGTCTGACTAACAGAGCAGAATAGACAAAAAAAAGTGAAAAGTGCTATTGTACAATGTAGTTCAAGATGGTTGTTCAAACATCGAGCATAGTTTGAAGGGAATATAATCTTAAATTAGAAGAAGAGAAAGTAATGGCTGACTTCCAGTTTATATTTCAGTAAGAAAAGAAGCATTCCAGTAGACATGGTAGGCGTTAATATGATCTAAGAGAAGACTGGAATAGACACATTTCAATCCTGAGCAAGAATCCAAATCTACAGTAAAACTTGAGTTTGTATCAGGAATGGACAGTTTTAACACTATTTAATATATAATATAAAATAGTTATGATCTAGTGTCTTCCTCTGCACACATAGTTATAGCATTACACAGATTTTTAGGAGACACGTTATATCACATGCACGGTATGTCTTTAATTCTTCATCTAATCAAGACTAGGAGATTTAGGACAGACTTTTAGAGACTGAAGTAGCAACTTTTTTACCCCACACAATGTTTTGAAGGATGAGCTTTCTCCTCTCTTTAGAATGACCATTCTGGATGCCTGAAATCCACTGTGGACCTCTCCAAATTCCAGATACGGAATTCAAATTATGACAGAAAGCTGGTGGTGGAGGCTTTTCTGGAGGAAGAAGGAACAGGTGAGAAAAGGGTGAATTTAGAAGTTAGGAAAGGAGGGAAAATTGATGAAAAAATAAATAAATAGTCACAACAAATCATCAAGGTATGTAACTAACCCCAAAGGGTGCATGGGCTCTGGTTCAAACCAAAGCAGCGGAAAAATCTTCCTTTCACTGAATAGGTAAATAAATATAGTGTCTATCTGTTAGAAATAGAAGGTTTAATGGCATGAAGTTTCTTGGAGATCTAAAAAGAAACATAAATGTTGAGTGAAGAGGAGAATGGCAGATTGGGGAAGAAACAATGTCTGGTGAAATTGAGGCAAATTGATGTATTATGTGACAAAATTAACAGTGGAAGACAAAAGACAAAAGAGGATTACTAATCCATTAATTAAAGTTCAATTTTATGGTCAGTGATTAGTTCTGCATCAAAGGTAAATGGTGCATAACACATCATCTAGATTTACACAAGACAAACATAAACTTTCTAATTTACTGAACTCTGATTAACATTTGCTTTGCAAATAACAGTTACTTCTGAACACATATATGGGGAAACTGTATAGTATAATATAGAGCCAAGAAACTAATGTAACATTTCCTAATGTGACCCACAGGAATAACAATAAATGCCACGTCTCAACAATGTGATGTTTCCTCCCAACTCACCAAGATTTCATTCAAAGACTCAAAGTCCTATTTTCAGCCAGGTGCACCCTATAGAGGAAAGGTGAGTAAGGAACTGTCAGATGTGTGAAAGGCTTTCCTTTAAATGTGCCTAGGTGTCGAAACATAAATGGATGTTGGACAGTGCCCCAATAAAAAAATAATACAAAAATATTAAAAACTATTTGCATGGAATAAAGAAAAGTTTGTATTTGAAAAAAACAAAACAAAACATGTTGCATTTTTTATTTTTTTTTGCAATTTCCTCTACCGTTTATTGATGCTGCTTAGAATCTGTACAATTAATCATGCCAAGGTTTTAGGAAATACAAAAATGCCCCATTTTTTTTTTTTTATATAGAGCTCCATATAAGCCACATGATTAGTTTACTAAGGTTTTAGATGTCACCTACAAGCTTTCCATTGGAATGACAGATCCTGTATTTCCTAAAAGACAGGTCTGCATATTGCTCGGTTTTCCAGGGATGTTAATGAATAACAGCATCAGTGAGTGGGTCTGGACTCCTTAAAGTGTTTTTTTTTTTTGTTATCTAAAAAGAGATGTATGTAAAAAAGACTGGGCCAAAGGTTCAGGTTACACAGCATCCCTCAATTTTTTTTACTTACATTAGCGCACCTGAGTTAAAACTTGCAGTGTAGGTGTATTGAATGAGAGCTTCAGCTGCACCTCCAGGCATATCTCAGTAAAGGGAGATTTCACGGAGCAACAGGAGGGGTGAGGGTGGCAACGTAACAGTTCTAAAAATTACTCTTTACAATGGGGGGGAGGGAGAACTCCTACACCATAACCACTACAGTATGCTGTAGTGCTTTTGGTCCTTTTAGTGTTCCTTTAAACGCAGTGGGAAATTAGCATGTAACAAGCAAAGTTAATACTAATAGCAATAGCTCAGGGGCAAATTACAGCCACGTTTTACACATACTCCATGAAAAAACAATGTTTTTAAATATGGAAGAATTTTAATTGCAATGTGAAAAGTGTACAATATATTCAAAAGTGCATATAAAGAGTTTTTATTCATATGGCACAGGGCCAGGATACAAGCGTGTGGGCCGGGGGGAGGACAGTAGGCCCCCCATTGTAATTTATGTCCCCCACCCATGAGGGGGGGAATTTGTCTTAGCGTCCCCACCCACTGCCCAGGGGTGGGGGCCGGGGGGGGAGGACAGTAGGTCCCCCCCTCATTATCTTTATGGCCCCTACCCGCCACCCAGGGGTGGGGGCTAGGGGGGAGGACAGTAGGTCCCACCCATTATCTTTATGGCCCCCACCCACAGCCCAGGGTTGGGGGCCAGGGGGAGGACAGTAGGTCTCCCCCTAATTATCTTTATGGACCCTACCCATCATAGAGGGGTGGGGGCAATAGATTGTTTTTTGTTTTTTTTACAGTGAGCAGCCACTGGCTTCTCACTGCTTACTAGACATGCCCCCTACTTGCGGTATAGCGAGTAGGGGCTGAATTTACTAATACTAAGTAATCTTTACTTAGTATTAGTAAATGTGGCTGAAAGACCAATTTAGGTCTTTCAGCCTTTTAGTAGATAGCTCTCTAATACCGTGGGAATGAATAGGATCGGAGTTTCATTCATTCTAATGAAATTCTGATACGAACAAAGTCCCGAATTGCATTCTAACCCGAATGGAGAAACTGTTAGAACGCAATTCGGCAGTTTTGCCGGCGTACTGTCTAAATGACAGGAAGCATCGCGGGAACAGGGAGGAAAGGTAAGGATTGTGTGAAAATTGCTGTGACCGCCGAAAACGAAGTACACTTTGCTCCTCCGCTGGTCACGGCGTAGGAAACCTCCATAAGAGAAATAGTCCCTACTTTTTTCTTAAGTTTTAATGAATACTAGAGCAGACATTAAGAAATGAAGAACAGATCCTGAGAGAGGGAGAGAAGAGTAATCGATTGGCGAAATGTAAGTTCGGCATGACAGTGCCGCTTTAAGCTATCTTCATGTGAAAATCACATTGTAGTTTTTTTGTTTAATCTTTTCTTGTATCTCTTTTCCACATTCTTACAGTTGGTTTTGGAATCATTTAATGAAAAGCCACTTTCTGGACAAGAGGTCTACCTCACCACCTTTTTCAAAGACGAGTCCGTAACAGAGTCATTTACCACTGATTCTGCTGGGGAGGTTTCATTTCAATTGTCCACATCTAAATGGGGTGCAGACTCTGTATCATTAAAGGTGAGCTCCCCGTGAATGGTGTTAATATAAACAGGACCAACTTGCTTTACAAAGTGGTCTGTTTACTATAGAATTGAAGTATACAATGTATTGAAATAAAATAAAAACATATAGGACTAAATAGCCAAGTTGAAAACGTTCAACAGCTTGGCTAATTTTACAATTGTGATTATTGTGGCTTATATAGTGAAATAATTTTTTTATAAACATGACTATCTAATAAAAATAATTTTAGATATGTCAGGTATCTCTCTGGTAGTGTTTACCTTAATTATTTAGCTGGGAGGCTCGGGATGGAATGACAGGAAAATAAAAGAATGAGAAATAACAGTTAAGAATGGACCTAGACAGACAAAGAGTGTGTTCTCTGCAGAATCAGCTTGTAGCTTGCATTAATTGAAAGGTCAGTAATTTAATGTAGATAAATGCAAAGTTAGGCACTTCAAGGTATAGAATGCACAAGCAACTTACACCCTAAATGGTAGTGAATTAGGGGTAATAACACATTAGAAGGATTTGGGGATTGTTATAGACAACACACTAGGCAAAAATGTGCAATGTCAATGGGCAGTTGCTAAGGCCAATAAGGTATTGTCATGTACAAAAATGGATGAAAATATAATATTGCTTCTTTATAAATCAATGCTAAGACCACACCTTGAATATGCAGCACACCTTTGGGCACATGTTCTGAATTATTATATTATGGAACTAGAAAAAGTACAGACACAGACTACAAAGCAAATTAATAAAAGTAACAGAAGATTTTAGTTATGAAGAATGGGTTACAAATTTGAATCTGTTTAGTTATGAAAAACAGCTCCTCAGAGGGGATATGATAGCATTATACAAATATATTCTGGGCCAATACAGACCATTGTATGGAAATCTATTTATAAACAGGACTAAACATAGGACTCAGAGTCATTCATTTAGATAGATCTTTAGTCTAAGGCAAAGGAAAGGGTTTTCTTTTACAGTAAGAACAATGTGGAACTAATTGGCCTTAAAAGGTTGCTTTATGAAAGTATGTCAACATTTTTAAAGGACCACTCTAGGCACCCAGACCACTTCAGCTTAATGAAGTGGTCTGGGTGCCAGGTCCAGCTAGGGTTAACCCATTTTTTTAATAAACATAGCAGTTTCAGAGAAACTGCTATGTTTATGAATGGGTTAAGCCTTCCCCCATTCCCTCTAGCGGCTGTCTCATTGACAGCCGCTAGAGGCGCTTGCGTGCTTCTCACTGTGATTTTCACAGTGAGAGCATGCCAGCGTCCATAGGAAAGCATTATGAATGCTTTTCTATGTGACCGGCTGAATGCGCGCCAGAGCCGGGCGGGAGGGGGACCCTGAGGGTGGGGGCACCCTCAGGGCACTATAGTGCCAGGAAAACGAGTATGTTTTCCTGGCACTATAGTGGTCCTTTAACAGTGACTGCATGATTTCTTGCAAAAGCATACTATTCAGAGATATAATTTTAATATGTTCCCTTTTCTTTTTGATGGTGCCCAGTTGTATAAGATGGCCCAACATAACCACATTGTTGGCTAGCCCACCTGGCTAGGAGAGGTATTATCAGATTTAAAAAGGTCATCCAACAGGGACTCAGTTAAGTTCCAAGCACCTCTCCTAGTAATGAGGTATAAGGATGCTATGGTGGTAGTGATAGGTGCATGATCTGACCAAGAGAGGGTCTCCACCTCCACTGTTTGAAACCTGGGCAATGTAGCAATGTCCACCAGACTTATATCTGTTCTGGAGTAACCATGGTGTACTGAGGAAAAAATGTATACTCTCAGATGATGAGATCTTTGCCTATCCAGGTGTCATAAAGATTGTTTTGGAATAATAGGTGTCTGAATTTGGCACTTAATAAGGTGAACTTGTTTTTTTTTTTTCTGACCTGTATAAAGTGGATTATGTGCTAGATAATGTGTGAAAATATTTCTAGTATTTATATTTATTGGATTTAAAAGGTGGGTTACTAGAACAAAAGAGGGTTTCCTGAAAAAAAATGCAATAGTGGCTTGAAAAGTATTTATGTTTTGGAACGCTAATCTGCACATATGTGGCATATTATGGCCTCTAGCGTTTATATAGTACAGTTAAGCTTAGATTTTAGTGCCACAGAGACAAATTTAGACTTAGCTGCCACTTTGGTGTGCCAGTGTGGGGTCATCTGTGAAAAGGGGCTGTGAGTGGTCAGATGTTCAGACCTGAGGTTGATTGTTTTAGTCAATGTGGCCTGTTTCAAGGCATAGCTCCCACAGCATTCGTCCACTCTCTGCCATAACCAGGACCAATCTCTGCTTATTTTTATTGCATTTTGATAGCTAGTCCAAAGCTTAGCTGTGCTAAGAACACTCCCTCCGTGAATGAGGCAAACAGCAGCAATACTAGCAAAAGTAACAATTGTTGATAATTCAAAGTCAAATCTAAGACAATTTAAAAAAAAAGACTAAAATAAAGGCCAAAGTAGCCAAACTGAAAACAAATCTCCAAGTGATCTATGTTTCTAGTTCAGTTACTGTTCATCATTTTGCAATTCCCTTCTTTCATTGTTCTATGTGGTTCCCACTATATGAAGTGTAATGATTGGCCCCTGTGGGTTGTTTTCTTATAAGAAAAAAATGCAAACATTTGAACATGCAAAAATAGGATATTCATGTGCAAATTGTATTTAAATTGTTGTGTCAGAGTGTGCTTGTAATATTTTGTCAATTTTTTTATTGTTGCAATAGTCTTGTTACCCTTTTTGTGGGTCTCTTTTGTTTGTCCTTATAAAGACTGGGACATTTTGGTTATTTTAGAGTTGCAGTTGGCAATATATAGTGTACACAAAGAACTTAATGACACAATATTTTAAATTATAGGCTTTCACTGATGAGAAAGATGAAGACTATAAGAGGGATCGTATTGCTGCCCGGCACGGTACCAGTTACCTACACCTGAAAGGCATTTATGTGAAAAGTCAAGACTCTGTGTATATTCACCCTGTAAAGAGTGCTGCACTTTGTCATGAGAACATATCTGTCCGTGTTGATTATGACCTTGGAGAAAAAAAGGTCGAGGAAGTGAACAAAGTCAACGAAGTCAACGAAGTGAAAGTATTCTATGTTGTATGTATCATTTCTTTCAATGGAAAGGGATTTATTCTAGGCACATATGGGGATTTATTAATAATGCCAGCTACTAATATGCCATCATATGCCATATAAGTATATCTCTAAACATATTTCACCAAAAACAAGGCTTTATCAATGGTGTAAATAGACTTCTGGATTGCCTGCAATTTTAACCCCACCTTTAAAATTAAGTGCATGGTCTCTATTGACCCATCAATTAAATCCATTGTTAACTTGGATTAAACTGGAACATCCTTACTATGTGGGCTAGCACAATGGTTAAGATTGTTATGGAAATCCATGATACTCTTTCAGGTTTTCAGGTTCAGGTGTGCAAAATGCACAAACATTGCAACATTCCCATTAATGTTTGTATTAGTAGCTTTAAATTTCATAAACATATATATACATACATATATACACACACACAGGTAAAAGAGGTTGCCATGGAAACATGGAAAAATGCATACTGCATTTCTCCTTCTCTTATTAATAGGGATAACTACAAGTCCTTCAAAGGTATTCCTTAGAGCATTTCTTTGAGTTGGGGCAATAAAACTAACGGGATGGTAACGTTCACAGACTGAATATTTTGGAACTCTAAATTCCCAGGTTCTCTAGCATCTTAACATCTTAGATAAGGGTAATTCTGAGCCAGCATGGTATGACACTCATCATATAGAATGTTCCAGAAGATGCCAACACAAACCATACTCTATATGCATATGAGAAACATAGAGGGGCATTGAGAGAGCATTCGAGGTGTGATTACCACTTGCAGCCTCACTATCTCTTTATCTTAAAGAGTTTACATTGCTTCTCTTAATTGCTGTCCCCAACCCTCTCTCTGGTAATTCAATACTAACGGTCACAGTAGATCTTTCTTTTATTATCTCTCACTATCTAACTTGCTATCTCATGCTCTTTCTCTGTACTTCTTTCACCATTTTCCTTGATGGCCCATCCACTCATTGTCTCTCTTTAAATTATTTGCTATACCACACACTTGCTAATCCATGCATTTTCTCTTCTCTCACAAGCCAATGTGTTCTCTCTGAACCAGCTTTTATTTTCCCTAGCACATTTGTTTTACTATTCCTTTTCTTCCTTCAGGTTTTGGCTAAAAATAAGATTTTGTACAGTGGCCAGAAGACCGTGAGCCTGGAGAAAGCAAACTGTACGTTGTATTATTCTTTTCAATGAATGCTTCGCTTTATAACTATTAAACACGTATCCTAACCTGATATAAATCTGAACAAGGAAAATCCCATTGTTACTAACGCTTGAAACAAAAGCTATAATGCACAGAATTTGCCAGCATTATTTTCTTAAAGCAACCAATTACAGGATCTTAGATTATTTCATTTAAGTGATGTAGTTCTGCAGCAATTTTCGTTTTCTGTAGTAAAAAAGAAAATAAAGTTAATTAAATGTTTATTGAGCACTCTGTAACAAATATTTTAGTATACAGGTATAGTAAAGGGGGAATCAAAGCAGACAAGAATAAATGCACACAAGATTTTGAAAGATTGGATTTACAGCTTCGTGCTCCACAGTGACAATGTCAATAATTAGATTCTTTGTAATTTTGGTGAGATAGGTCTCTGTTGAGTTTTGAAAGTGATATTCTAATTGAAGATAGTCAATATGTTGAGCTGACAAGATTAGAGAGTTGGATATCTACTAGCTGGAAAAGAGGCTTGAAGGTGGAAAGAAGAGAATATATTGTCTTTTACAATCAGTTAAGAGAGGTTCTATATAAAATTGGAGTCAAAAACGCATATCTGATGATGAACTACTGGTGAAAAGACTATCTGAATATGACCATTAGCATTAGACGGAAGCACGAAGGAAGGAGGTTAACACATATGTAAGAGATTGGATTTAAAAGAGTTGCATCTTCTTCTGTAACTGGGATAAATAACCCTAGAATACATGAGAATATGAGAAATGCACAATAAACATAGGATTTTGTTCACACACAGTCTAGAATCGAATCGCAAATTATATTCCGGTCAAGACTCTCTCTCTAAATCTCAGGGAATATTTGGTTAGTGTTGTGCTGTATGATGTGTGAGCATCACTAAAGTATATATTGAATGTATGAAGTAAATGTGTGTTTCTGTAAATGTAAATGTGTGTTTGATCATGTTGACTCCAAAACAAGAAGGTTAAGTATATATTTTCTGATTGCGATCGTGTTATTTTCTCTTCTTCTCGCACTTCTCAGCACGTTCAGGATCCATGGAGATTTCTCTCCCAGTCCGAGATGTTTCTCCCACTGGGAAGATTCTTGTTTTCACCTTATCTGATGATGGTGAGGTGGCTGTAGATACTGCAACGTTTCAAGTGACTGCATGCCTGAAGCAAAATGTGAGTAGGAATGATCAAAAATCTTAAACACCCTGTACTGAATAGGACAGTCCTAAAATTGTACATTTATTAATTTGGATATTAATAAAAAATCAAGAAAATATCAGCTCGAATAAACCTATCCCTTTTAAGCATATAGTCTTTTAAACTACATTATGGTCTTCTGAGCAAATCCTTTAGTTAGCAGTATGCTAATAGACACACTTTTCAGAACCACTAGGGGTGGTCTAAAGCAATACACAAGCAAAATTGAGTAAAAACCTCAATACTTAGTACATTATAACAGAACCTTTCCATTGTCAACTAAACATGGTCAAATTAATCCAAAAAGAATGTCAAAGCAGTTATTAAGCAAGTCAGAATCTGACCAGCTAGTGTTATATTAAAAAGATCATACCTTTGCTTTGAATTTCAGGTCACTCTTGGGTTTTCTGAGGAACGTGTGCACCCCAGTTCACTTGTCAAGTTGAATCTGAGAGCCGCCCCTGGTTCTTTATGTGCGCTCCGTGTTGTTGACAAGAGTGTTACATTGATGAAACCAGAAGACGAACTCACAGAGGCTAAGGTAAGGTTTCAAAGGATGTGATAAGTTAGAAAAAAAATATATGTAATATTATTTATAAAGTTGTATGAATGTATTTGGCATGTATTTTATTGAGCAATTCAAGATATCTGACATATAGATACAATTTTACACTTTGGTACTCAAATTGCTATTTTGAGTAAATTAGACAATGGAGATGAAGTTAAGAAAATCTAAGGGGAAGAGAAAAAAAAACTACTAATATTGAAAAATATTCTTATTTAACTTCACCTAACCTGGAATATTGGGAATATTGTGACTTGCTCTCAGAACTAATCTTCATAACTACATAAATACATTAAAAATAATTTTAAAAAGGGCTACTAGAAATTGGATCATGGTTTTCATAATAATAAGTACCAAATAATAGGGGAGTTAAAAAAGTACAAGACTGATATTTTTCACAGAATGAAGGTATTTAGGAGAAAAGGACATGGAACATTAGGAAATACTTTATTACAGAAAGAGTTATAGGTACAGAATAGGTTGCAGAATTCCAGAAGGAGCAATTCTAGTATTCATTTTTGTACACATTTCTAAGATAAGTTCTAATAAGCTGTTCTAATTATACAGCTTCTACTTTAAGGGACCCTCCACTGCCCAAATGTTTTTTTTAAATCACTATTTAGTAGATATACATCTTATTAAAACTTTAAAGCTTTTAATTGTGTGTTTTTTTCATTGTGTGTATGTCTAAAAAATGCTTGTTAAACCTGCAGAATTCTTGCCTGAAGCCTTTGTCAGCCCTCCCCTACTAACCCCCTCTCAGACTTTCTGTGGCTGTCCAATCACAATCTATTCATTTAAACATATCTACTAATACGTAAACCTATTGATTGTATGTTTTTGACTTGGTTATAGATTCAAAATCTTATCAAGACTCAGCCCTATTATCCGCCATATGAGAGCTTAGATTATGAATTTTGTCGTGATAATGGACCTACAACTTATTGGGGAATAATTAGTGAAGAACTTATCTCTTGGTGGCATCCACGGTATGTCTATCCAGTGAAGAAGAAGGATATTCAGAACATAATCGAGGTTAGTAACATTGATACGCGTTGAAGATGTTGAAGATAGGAAGATAGGAAGAGTTGCTATCCAAGCAGTTTGATTTGGCAATATTGGTACCCAAATAATAAAAGACTTTCCTGGGAACTGGAATTATGATCTGGAGATCAACAAGATAAGATGTAATAAGCCACGTAGAACCAGAAGGCAGCTCAAGAGGAGAGTCAGCAAAGGTATTTTTCCTCTGCTGGTATCTCTAGATCTGGAGCCTCTTAAACAGGACAGAGTATGGGAGCTCATGTCATGCTAGCTCTCTAGAGAGAGTAGTGTCAACATTTTTATTTTATTTTTTTTAAATGGAGAACCCTTTCTTTGTTAAGAACTCAAAGTATCCAATTTTTATATAAAGAGGTATTGTCAGTACTCTTACTCAACTAAATTGATGTGATTCAGATGTGTCAGGAGTGCTACTCAATGCCACTCTTTTGAGAGACTGGCACTGGAGTCTTTTCAAAATGCCCTGCATACACTCAACTTTTTTATGACCTTCATGCAGAGCATGGGGCATTTAAAATTTCAATGGGTGCTAGATTTTCTGTTAAAGCAAGTACAAATTAGAAATGAAAAATGTAATTTAAAAACATAGCAGAAAAGTGACATTTTAGCTCCATATTAGGATTACCTGGTCAGGGATAAATAAGTCTCTATCACTTCTAGAGCTATAATTTAATGATTTTAAATCTGATGGGTTATTCATAGGGCAATAGGGAAAAGTCATGGATGCATGCAAGGCCATTTGGACTGCAAACTCCAGACATTGTACACACACCATTCAACGCTGTCCAGATCTTGCCACTATCCGGGGCCCATGCAACTACATCATGTGGGAATATTTCAGTAAGCCAATCAGAGTGCTCTGACATTGCTCGAGACTTAGAGTGTTCTTACTCATATTGCACAACGTGCAATGCAGTAGCTGTCATAGTGTGGGAACGCCTTTCTAAGAGGCCAAAGAAAAAAAGAGTTAGAAGAACGAAGACTTTGTCTAAGGCAAAGGAAAGGTTTTTTTTTACTGTAAGAACAATCAGGATGTGGAATTCTCTGCCTGAAGAAGTGGTTTTATCAGAGTCCATACAGATGTTCAAACAGCTACTAGATGCATACTTGCAAAAACAGAATATTCAAGGATATAATCTTTCAATGTAGGGTAATAACTGCTTGATCCAAGGATAAATCTGACTGCCATTCTGGGGTCAAGAAGGATTTTTTTTCCTAGCTTGTTGCAAAATTGGAAGTGCTTCAAACTGGGTTATTTTTACTTTTGGATCAACAGCAAAAAACACATGTGAGAAAGGCTGAACTTGATGGACGCAAGTCTCTTTTCAGCTATGTAACTATGTAACTATGTAACTATGATGGTAAGTATAATTTAAAATTTTGCAGGCATTGGTTTTCTTGGCTTCCCCTCAGTATTATTGGAGTGAGGGGAATAAGTAGGGTTCATTCATTTAAATGTGTGTGATTAGAGGATAGGGGTCCCTGAATATTATAATTAGGGGCCCTACCTCCTGCTAATGAGTCAAGCTCAGGAAAAGGACACTAGGTTCTTTTGACCCCCGTAAGGTTTTTAATTTATTTTTTAAAACTTTTTTAATGTGGTGGTTGGCTAGCAAGCATTGGCTAGTTGCCATGTTAAACATTTTGTATAAGATTCAAATGTAAAAACACTAATTTTAATCTGGACATCGAATGCACCCTGTGATTACTGCAGATTCACACGGTGTAACTGAATTCCGACCATCCGTAACTTTAGTAAATATGAAAATTGCCATTGCCCATTTTCACTGGATTTTATCCATTTGGACAAAATCCGATGTTTAGTAAATAACCCTGTGAAGCTACTACTACTTAGTGCAGGAACATCTCACTGGCAGAAGATAAAGGAATTGTGCACCCAGAAGACAAGCCTATATTAAAATAAATGGTATGGTTGCTTATGGGAGTAAAATGAATGATCACTGATGTGTAGTACTGGTGAGCAGAGAAGTGATGGTGTAAAGAAGAGAAGAGGAGAGCTGAATATTTGACCACCTAACATTCCCTTTTTTATGCTCTTCTGCAGGATATGGGACTTACCATCGTAACCAACTGGAACGTTATGGCACCTGTGACCTGTAAATTTGAGAGAGGTACGTATAAAATTCACAGAATAGGTTAGGCTAGTGGAATAACACCGGCCTAAAGGCGGAAAAAAAAACTTGCTTTCTTATTTTATTTTCTTCTTATTTATTATGTATGGCATGTAATTGCTTGGAGGAACAATTCAAATATATGGTATGTATTGGCTTAGAAACTCTATCTGTTCCAAGTACCCTAGGTATAATGTGATTATAATGTTCGTACTTATATTGTTCATTATGTTATTGGTTTTCAAATACATCTTTGATGTTACCAAAACCCCGTATTTGTGGTTTGCTTTAGATACTATCGTGTTCTGAGATTTAAAGCCAAAGATTTCAGTGGGACAAGTGGGGAAAAAACAAAATAGAACCTTTTCTAAGTGGCTGGTTGGAAACTGTGGGAATCATAACATTCTCAAACTAATAGGGTAAAATGTTATGAGAGACAGCAGACTTTCACTGGTGTCACTTGTAACCACTGCACTTGTATGCGTCTACACCCATTTTGTCTGCAGCTCACATAACAAAATTAGGTGTGCACACAGCTTGTGGCTGTGGACATTGGCCTATGCTCCCTTACATGTGCTATGTGAGTCTGTGAATCTTGGCCAAGCTTCTGCAAGATATCAATATATCTTGCAGGATTACAGCTGAGCATCATAGAGCCGCATGGCACACGTAAGGAGTTACAGCGCTGACTCACATCAGGTGATACAGGCAAAGTAAATATGACCAATATGGCATGGAATGCATATGAGCATAATAAAATGTGTGCGATGTCGCATGGACATGGGCATCATAATATATACTCAATGTGGCAAGTGGGCAATGTGACATGATGTGGGCATAATAAAATGGAGACAAACTGAAATATAAGTAGACCTCATGGCATGTGGGCAATGTGACATGATGTGGGCATAAAAAAATGGAGACAAACTGAAATATAAGTAGACCTTGTGGCATGTGGGCAATGTGGCATGATGAGTGCATAATATGGTGGAAACAAACTGATATATATATATATATATATATATATATATATATATGCAATGTGGCATGTGGGAATATTAATATAGCTTACAGTCATATTTGTATTATATTTGTATTATTTAAAACAAAAATAGCAATGCAATTTTATTATGAGAGAGTGGATGTGACAAAATTATTTTGAAACTATTTCATGTTTACATTTACACAGACATTCAGTGCGCACATACCAGGAAACAAAAATGTGCACAACACAATATTTCTACACACATTAATTAGAGGTAACTTTGCTTGTAACAAAATACAAGGTAACAAGGTGGATAAAAAAGTATATATAAAAAAAAGTTGTTTTTAATTAAAATGTGATTATTTTTTAAAATGTAATTTAGATTTATTTTAATAAAATATTTTAGGAGGTAACATCTATCTAATTATAGTTAAGATCATCAGTCTTGAGGATCTCAGTCAATTGAATGCTTTCCCATAAGAAAGCATTGGGAGGATATTGCTCATGCTTGGTAAAATGCCCCGCTGCAACAATAAGCATCTCCTCATAGAGATGAATTGAATCAATGCATCTCTACGCTGAAAATAGGTGCTGCTCACTGTGCAGCATTGAAATAGGAAGTACCTCTAGTTACTGTCTGAGTGACATCATCTAGAGGTGTTACTAGGCAGCAATGAAAATACTGCCTTTTTTCTGAAAAAGCAGCATTAACATTGCTGAGCCTGTAGTAGTTCTGGTGACTGTAATGTTCCTTTAAATCTTCAATATAATTGCCAGGAATTCCAAGTGGACAATCTATTAGTCATGAAAGTAGAAAATAGCAGTGAGCAACTGTTTGTAATATATAAGGAATATCACTTATGTGGTCAGATACCCAGAGTAAGACTTGTGGCAGTTGATTGTTTATTTATTTCATATTGTTAGCAAAGCTGTCAAGGCAAAGCCTGGTATACAATGCAAATCATCGAGAAAATAAATGTGTGATGAGTAAAAGCCGATGTGGGCTCCTATTCATCTAAGGCTGGGGAAGGCAGCCTTTGTGGACTGTATCTCCCCTGATGCTTTGCCAGCATTATGGTTGTAAGAGCATTAATGATATGTAGTCCACAATATATGGAGTGCCAATGGTTGCCTACCCCTGATCCATTTTATAAGGAAATTAATGTTTTCCTTTGCAAAAGGCCAATGACAATGCATGTTCATGTATGGCATTATGTGAGAAATGTCTGATTTATAGACAATTATATGCAAGCATGAATGCATATGAACAATCCATCAAGTAATGAAGATGACACTGAACAATTGTGTTTATAATGCTTAATATTCATGGAATTCACTTGTAAATACACTTGGGGGCCTGACAGTTCTTTGATGTGAAAAAGTTGCATATTATTTTTTAAAGGCTTGGGTGTGAGATGCAATTCATTAAATAAAAACAATTGTGTTCTTCAGAAATGATGACGATGACTGGCATCATGGTTTCTGCTTCTTTGCATAGTGGACCAGTTGCAGGTAAGCTAAATCCTCATGAACTGCTGATATTATGGAGGCAAGGTCAGCCTGGAAGGAAGAAAACAGTGCTGACAGAGTAGTCTTGCATTATTTATGTATTTATGTCAGCTGGCAACTTGTAGATTTGCTCCTCTGATCCATTTTTAGGAAGGTCTCTCGTCTTTAATACAGTGTGATCAGGAGCAATTATGAAGTGAAGAGCAGTCCATGGTTAGGTTGATTATGTTGCTCAGCAACATCGTTGTTTGCTTAGCTGGCCCACTGGGGTGAATGCCCAATGGCCAGTCTACACCTGATGCCTATAGGTATAACTCCACAATACTTTTATATATGAACATCCTGCACCTCATATACCCATTATAAATGTTGACTGCACCAGTATAACATCATAATACTCCATTCTATGTACTGACTGCCCCAATACAACACCACTGTGACGGTAGTCACCATTATTGGGGTTGGAAGACAGACACTAAATGTTGTTCCAGAGACACTGCCAGGCAAGTTCAAACTAGCTGCCCTGTCCCTACTCAATCTCCCATTTTGATTATCAGCCCTTGATATTGTCTGGTCCCACCATTCACTGTACTATAGTGCTCTACTCACCCTATTGAATGTAAATTAAGCTGCTGGGGGCATAAATATGCTATGTATATTAAAGTTAGTTGTTGTTTTAACCTTCACCTAATGTCATCTGGTGTTTGGGAAAAGAGTTCTGATTACTGCTCTGCTGATGAAAAGGGTGTCCAGGGCTATGATCCTAGTAGTCTGGTCCAAGGTGAACAAGGCCCTCAGCGATCCCAGTCAAGCCTGACAGCTACCAGGAAGAGCAGTTGGCAGAGGTACTTGGTCGAAGTACCAGAGCTCCGTCGCATTTGGTGGCAGCTGCGGGATCGATTGCTTTCTTGCAGGATACCTCTGGAACACCTCTGGAGACCTGATGGAGAACCGTAGGTATGGCAGTTTCTCATAGGAAGAGGTTAAGGAATCAGAGTTCCTGAAAGATGCACTATCAAAACTATCCCTGTTTGGGCCAAACGTACCAGTAGAGATAGTACTTCAGGTTATGGCAATGGCTACAAGTGCAACCATAGCATCTGAATTCCAGAGTTGACTGTTACAGGCACTTAATCTGCTCAACAGACCAGTTTCAGAGGAGAAGACCTTGAAACTGTGGAATCAGATACGCTTGGAGCTCTGGGAGATGGCGCTCCAGTTTACTAGGATATATTGAAATGAATATCTCAAAACAATAAGCCGAGGTTCAATGGGAGCTGAGGATAACATTACTGGGAAAGCAGCCCCAGGGGGAATGGTTATCTGAAATGAAAATGCGGGTCCAGCAGGAAGTGGAGCTTGACAATTGGTAGCGTGCTCTGTAGTGGCTGTCCAGGGAGGCTGGACAGTGAGCTCCGATCCCCAACTCCATATCAGAGGGGGCCCAACCACCCTGCCTTCCCTCCATCATCTGAGAGAGATGCAGGGAGATGGGACAGTGGGCACGCATCTCCAGAAGCAGGTATATGCTTCAGAATATGCAGAGGTCGGATGGGTGAGTGCTGCTCTTGCATGGGTAATTTGTTTGGGGTACCAATTTGGTGATGACATTGCTGGGCTTGATGTACTGACTAACTTCGGAGTCAACTCGACTGCGATCTTCAGTATTGATCTCTTTCCAAAGGGGAAGAAATGTGCTGTAAACTATATTGGACTGGAGACACAGGGTTACAAATTTTCTATTGGGGTGTGTGGGTGTCACAATAGCCCCTTAAGAGTGGCGTCATATGCGGTTAGGTTTGAGTTTGGGAGGGGGGTCATGGCAGATTCACTGGCAACTCCCCTTCTCTACTTCCAATTCTCCTCTTATGGCTAAGTTACCCTGTGTGTATTAGGGGCACAGGGTGCCTGGGAAGTCCAATCTGGCCTGACCAAACCAGACTTCCACCGACTGCTCGTCTATGAGACTAGGACAAACTTACAAACTATGTGGAACATTGTCGAAGAGGCTGCCAGGTTGGATGGACTTGTTACTTGACTAACTCAGGTACAGACCGATTGGAGGTCTGGTACCTGGTTAGTCTACCTTTGGGGGGGAAGATATGTGACGATAGCCACCATCACTGGGGATGGAATACAGACATTATAATGTAGGTCCCAAGATTTCTCTTGCGCTCTGGTCACTCTGTGTCCATTATTGGTGCAGGGTATGTTGAATGTATTGAATGTCCATGTTGTATGTGCCTTGCCCCCTCATCCTTTTTCCTATCCTAGTGTTTCCCCAGTAGGGTTCTGTCCAATTGTTTCAGGGACACTGTCAGACCAGTTCAAAATAGCTTCCTTGTTCCTCCTTAATCTCCCATTTTGGCTATCAGCTCTTGATATTGCCTGGCCCAACCCTTCATTGTACTGTAGTGCTCTATTCACCCTACAGGGAGTGCAGAATTATTAGGCAAATGAGTATTTTGACCACATCATCCTCTTTATGCATGTTGTCTTACTCCAAGCTGTATAGGCTCGAAAGCCTACTACCAATTAAGCATATTAGGTGATGTGCATCTCTGTAATGAGAAGGGGTGTGGTCTAATGACATCAACACCCTATATCAGGTGTGCATAATTATTAGGCAACTTCCTTTCCTTTGGCAAAATGGGTCAAAAGAAGGACTTGACAGGCTCAGAAAAGTCAAAAATAGTGAGATATCTTGCAGAGGGATGCAGCACTCTTAAAATTGCAAAGCTTCTGAAGCGTGATCATCGAACAATCAAGCGTTTCATTCAAAATAGTCAACAGGGTCGCAAGAAGCGTGTGGAAAAACCAAGGCGCAAAATAACTGCCCATGAACTGAGAAAAGTCAAGCGTGCAGCTGCCACGATGCCACTTGCCACCAGTTTGGCCATATTTCAGAGCTGCAACATCACTGGAGTGCCCAAAAGCACAAGGTGTGCAATACTCAGAGACATGGCCAAGGTAAGAAAGGCTGAAAGACGACCACCACTGAACAAGACACACAAGCTGAAACGTCAAGACTGGGCCAAGAAATATCTCAAGACTGATTTTTCTAAGGTTTTATGGACTGATGAAATGAGAGTGAGTCTTGATGGGCCAGATGGATGGGCCCGTGGCTGGATTGGTAAAGGGCAGAGAGCTCCAGTCCGACTCAGACGCCAGCAAGGTGGAGGTGGAGTACTGGTTTGGGCTGGTATCATCAAAGATGAGCTTGTGGGGCCTTTTCGGGTTGAGGATGGAGTCAAGCTCAACTCCCAGTCCTACTGCCAGTTCCTGGAAGACACCTTCTTCAAGCAGTGGTACAGGAAGAAGTCTGCATCCTTCAAGAAAAACATGATTTTCATGCAGGACAATGCTCCATCACACGCGTCCAAGTACTCCACAGCGTGGCTGGCAAGAAAGGGTATAAAAGAAATCTAATGACATGGCCTCCTTGTTCACCTGATCTGAACCCCATTGAGAACCTGTGGTCCATCATCAAATGTGAGATTTACAAGGAGGGAAAACAGTACACCTCTCTGAACAGTGTCTGGGAGGCTGTGGTTGCTGCTGCACGCAATGTTGATGGTGAACAGATCAAAACACTGACAGAATCCATGGATGGCAGGCTTTTGAGTGTCCTTGCAAAGAAAGGTGGCTATATTGGTCACTGATTTGTTTTTGTTTTGTTTTTGAATGTCAGAAATGTATATTTGTGAATGTTGAGATGTTATATTGGTTTCACTGGTAATAATAAATAATTGAAATGGGTATATATTTGTTTTTTGTTAAGTTGCCTAATAATTATGCACAGTAATAGTCACCTGCACACACAGATATCCCCCTAACATAGCTATAACTAAAAACAAACTAAAAACTACTTCCAAAAATATTCAGCTTTGATATTAATGAGTTTTTTGGGTTCATTGAGAACATGGTTGTTGTTCAATAATAAAATTAATCCTCAAAAATACAACTTGCCTAATAATTCTGCACTCCCTGTATTGTATGTAAATGAAGCTGAAGTGCTCCATGGTCCTTGGTAGCTACAAGGAAGCACATTTGGCAGAGGTACTCAGTCAGAGTACTAGAGCTCTGTCACAACCACATCCTACAGTCTATGTACTGACCGAATTGACCAAAAAACATGGACAGTGCTAACAATTCTTATACATTGCGCAACACACAAAATCATAAAAGTGATAAAACTAGCAGCAGTCACCTAAATTTGTGACATAAAAGATCCAAAACTAGAAATGGTGTTGCACTAAAATATTATTGCATAAACATTGTCAGTTTCTCACCAAAAAAATATTTTCACAAAACCATCTGAAAAAAAAATATAAAAACAAATATAGTGCAGACCATCTGATATAAGGTGCAATGCACACTTATTGTAAAAAGTTGGGAGTTTGCACTCACATTTCCCAGAGCTTGATCAACCATGGCTCTGGGTGATAAAGGCTCCTATGAAGAGGGAAATTATCCCACAATCAGGTATCCCAGAGAAATCTGAGTTCCTCGATATAATCTCACATACTGCATTCTATGTACCGAATGCCCCAATATAACCTCACATACTGCATTCTATGTACTGACTGCCCCAATATAACCTCACATACTGCATTCTATGTACTGACTGCCTTGATATAATCTCCCATACTGCATTCTATATACTGAATGCCCAGATATAACCTCACATACTGCATTCTATATACTGAATGTCCAGATATAACCTCACATACTGCATTCTATATACTGAATGCCCAGATATAACCTCACATACTGCATTCTATGTACTGAATTCCCCAGAGACAACCTCACATACTCCATTCTATCTACTTACTGCCCTGATACCACCTCACATACTGCATTCTATGTACTGAATGCCCCAATATAATCTCACATACTGCATTTTATATACTGAATGCCCAGATATAACCCCACATACAGCATTCTATGTACTGAATGGCCAAATATAATCTCACATACTGCATTCTATGTAGTGAATGCCCAGATACATCTCACATACTT